CCTGGTGACGTATTGTGTATTAGCCAAGTTTTGCTAGAGAAAATAGCAACACATTGAAAGAGAAAGAACAAATTTGTTGCTCATTTCTCTAATTTCAGAGACATTTACGAATAGTAGATGTCAGTCAACACACCCTGAGTTTGAAGAAGCAGGCTGGAGTACTGACACAGAAGCTAAGCAATGTACTTCTGTGGAAGGGAGCAGCAGCAAAATGTATTTTAGACACCTACAAAAATCACTACCAGATAACTTAACACCATATTTAGATTATTTTCACTGCTTTACCTTGCTGATAGACAGCGATTTGACCAGGAACTGAAGCCATTATGTTGTTGTCTTCAAAGCCAGACCGCATTGAGAAAAACAGTTATTTAAACAGTCCAGGACTTTGGCGTATTAAAGGGAAATTTCGGTTTATTTCAACCCGTCTCCTATCGTCCTAAATTTGTTTCAAGTGACTAGTGACATAGAAATAATAGTTAGCATGTTAGCCGTTAGCCTAGATACAGCTGTAGCATCAGACCTACCCTTAAAACGTAAGTGAACGGGCATACCTTCAAGTGCCAAGTTAGTCCACTACACAAGCTTTTTTTCCACAAAGACCGCCTCATATCGTTAGGATAAATGTCAGAGAACATATAGAAAACGACATGTAAACATGTTGTCTTACCTTACCGGTGTGGTGCCATGTTTGTTTACCATCTAGCTCTGCTTTCCAAAGCGCAGCTGAAATATATCTCGCCAGCTCTAGATAAAGCCCAGCTGGATACTAACGTTACTCCAGGTGGAGGTGTCTTGTCCTCAGTCACATCCAGACCTTGAAAATAAGGCTGCAACCGTTCCCATTCCTTGCAATAGAGGCATTCCTCTTCTGTGGGCACTGGGGCACAGCATTCACAGGTACACCACCAATCTCCAGAGCTACGCAGCCTTGCAGCAGCCATTCCTCCCCTCTCATCCTCTAACGTTACCTGTTGCACCTCTCTCTCTCTCCTCCTCCTCCGTTCTTCAATTTCACGAACCTCTTCCTCAGTGTATTCTGACTCAAATAAATAAGGGTGGCCATCAAACTCTGCAAAATCAAATTCCTCCTCCACAAAGTCAAAGTCTGGCAAAAAGTCAGCCATTATTCTATAAATCTTTCATAAAATAAATGAATGAACTTTTCAGGCTACTGTCCGGTTCTGCCTTTCAGCTGTTGCTGCTTGTTCTCGCGAGATTTCAGGCACGGTATGAGATCGCTGCTTGTTCTCGTGATATTTCGGCTGCGCTTTGGAAAGCAGAGCTAGATGATAAACAAACATGGCAGCACACCGGTAAGGTAAGACAACACGTTTACATGTCGTTTTCTATATGTTCTCTGACATTTATCCTAACGATATGAGGCGGTCTTTGTGGAAAAAAAGCTTGTTTAGTGGACTAACTTTGCACTTGAAGGGATGCCTGTTCTCTTACGTTTTAACAGGTCTGACGCTACGGCTGTATCTAGGCTAACGGCTAACATGCTAACTATTATTTCTATGTCACCAGTCACTTGAAACAAATTTAGGACGATAGGAGATGGGTTGAAATAAACCGAAATTTCCCTTTAAGGGGTAACTTGGAATCACCAAAGTCACACAATAACACAAACTAACTGAGGCAGTGGTTGACCAGCAGCTCCTGTGCTCAGCGACCCAAAATACAGTTTGTTTCAATGGAGTCTGGTGGCTTTGATAAGAGCATAGATGAGGAACTGGAGAGCTTCCCTGTCAGAATGGGCAAGTTAAAGTGGTGAAAATAAACAACAAACAAAAATAAATAATCAATATAACATACACTTCAACTGTGACTTATTTAGGTGAGATTTTTTTTAGGTCAATAAAATACATTTTGCTGCTAACCTGTCCACAGTGATACATTGCTTAGTTTCTGTGATAGTACTCCTGTCTGCTTCTCCAAACTGTTGGAGATCTTGTACCAGTCTGTTGTAGCCAGTGCACTTTACTTTTCTGTAGTCTGCTGGGGGAGCAGCATCTGAGCCGGTGAGACTAACAGACTTAAGAAACTTATTAAGAAGGCTGGCTCTGTGATTGGCTGCAAACTGGACTCATTTGAAGCAGTGGTGGAAAGGAGGACATTGAACAAACTGTTATCCATGTCCACATACCATTTGATTACTTGCTGCTGTAATACAAGAATCTCCCAGCTTGGGATCAATAAAGTACTATCCATTTATCTCTATCTACTGTATGTAATGCACTGATTGTGGAAAAGTACCCCATACAACCAAACTTAAAAAAAACCTGCATATCCCTTTAAGTACTCACATGCGCAACTCCTTTACCTTAATGCCTTCAAATCTCCTTCCCAATGACTTGTTTTATGGCTTAAAACAATGTGGAAAAATGCACACCAAAATGTTACCAGAGTTTTACTGTGGGAGGTTAGTTTATCTACTTTGGTTCAGAGGTCCTATGCTACTGTAAATATCCTTATGTTCTCAGCCTTCTTGCAGCAATTTTAACAAACTTCCTCAGTAAACTGCTGTGACATCGTCTGAATGCAGAGCCAAGCCTCCACCTCAGGCTCAGATTAACAGGTCAACACAGACACAAGTTAATGAGATCCAGCAACACTTCACATACCACTGGTGTTGACAACAAAAAGAGGGGGTTTATGCTTGCGTGTTTGGAAGTAGGAATTTTCTTAAGCAGGTGAACTATGGGACAGGTGAAAGTTGAAAAGGTTACATATAGATGTGAGTGTGGAAAAGAAAGCCAGTGAAACACAATATTGTTGGGTGTGATACAGAATGTGAGATGTTGGACAGTTGAGAAGTAAAAAGTTAGTATTTAGTATTCCTCTAAATAATGAATACTTCCAATATTCAGTTGAGCAGCTGGGCTAAATTTCAAAACACAGGCTTGAAACCTGCTATCTCAATCTTCAAAGCCCCCACATATAAGATGTGAAAATTCCTGAATTTAGAGCCTCCCAGTGGCGGTGTCAAAACGATAAACCTCTCCACAGACATCTGACCCAGGGACACTGAGAATGACGATCTCAAAGCAACACACGGATTGACTCATTATTCTATGAAAAAAGACTTGACATAAGAACATAAAAAGTTAACCTACAAATTCAACACATAAATGAAATAAGTCTCACATAAGTCTTATGGCTCATTAATACTCCTTTTATGTATGAAAATAGATATGTCCATTTCAAACGTTGTAAATGTCACTGTCCTCGTAGTTCCATGCATCCTTTATGTTGGCACAGATGCAGCCAATAGATGGCGCTACAGGGCAGAGTCAAAAGTTTCTGACAACAACAAACAAGTAGACGGTGGAGGAAGTCATACCATTGTACCTTTAAATGGAGGCAGTGCTGCAGACAGTGGTGGTCTGTTCTACCATTAACCTTATGATTCCAACATGTGGACGGAAAATTATTTTCAGTACATTACCGATTCATTCCATTCTGCCATTATTTAAATATCTTCGTCGACTCCTATGGTCATATCTTACTTGAGCTGCACTACACTGCCTCCAGGATCTCTGGTGGTACTCGTTCATTTCACCTGTATATGTACGCTTTCAGGAAATGTGCAGAAATATGGACAAAATGAACACACGTCCATAGTATGTACAAAGGCATCTTTGAGAATCCTGAAAAGCGCTATATTAATCTAATGTATTATTATTATTATTATTATTATTATCTGTCTTTGACTCCATCTCTAACATTGAGCATAAATGAGCCCTTAAAGGGCCAGTGTGTAAAATGGGTTGAAAACAGTGACATCAGTGGTCAAATTCTAGACTGCAGGGCTCGTTCGCTCACCCCTCCCGTCGGGTAAATGACGGTGGCCTCGTAGGGACAAAAAGCCTTGCGCACGAGTTTTTCAGGAGTAGGTCTATCTAGCTACGAGGTGAATGTTTATTTAGAAATCTAAGCCATGTTACGATATTGTAATGAATCCCTCACGAGCAGGAGACCAGAGGAGCGTTCGGGAAAAAGGCCCGTTTATTTGAGCACTCCAGAAACTCCGGTAACACTCCAGGGGGTAAAAGACTCCGTCCCAAACTCTGACTCTTCTGGCGTAACACACACACTCCATAACTTTACACACATACTCGTTTACCATACTAAGTGGGGACCCCCCCTCCCCTCTCTGCTCAATCTCCAGCCCGCACAGTGACTGACAGCGTAGCCGGTAAACAGAGCTCAGCTGTTTATTTAGCCTAGCAACATCTCCGGACTATAGTAGCTGCAATGGACGACTTTGAACGGGATTTTGAAGAGTTTCTTGTAGCGGACACAGACCCAGAGCCATACCTGTTTGAGCCGGAGCATACAGATGAGGAACTCCATGTGTTTGATGCTGAGCGGACGAGAAGAGAGGCTGAATGCACAGAATGGGATTTGGTGCTACTGCTACCATCGTTGGGGAGATATATCATCAGGCGGAAAAGCACCGCAGAGAGTGCATCACTAGGAGTGAAGTTGTGTCTTCTTTTCCTCACAGATGGCGGTTCGGGTTCATTCTCTCCTGTTGCGTGGTAAGTGTGGTCCATTCGCAAACTTTATAACTAAATAAACTTTTCACTACTCTCTATCTACGAACTACTAACACTCTCTGCTGTTTCCTCCTCCTTCTTCCTTCCTTCCGCTGTCTTCGTTGGTTTATTTATGCACGCGAAACGCGTTCTCTGGCTGGCTGGATTGTCCGCTCGGTCTGCCGTACATACATGGCGGCGCAAGATGGCGACCTCTCTAAAGCAAGGCCCTTGCTATACATATATATATAAAAGCATAATTATAAGGCTACGAAAACCAAACGAATTTTATTTTATAGCGATTATACGCTTGTATAAACATATGAATGGGTAGAATATTCAGATTCAGATTCAGATTGACAATAAACCATGCCAAATATTACACACTGGCCCTTTAAGCTAAGTCTGCGTACAAAAGTACATCATTAGTTAATTTCCTCTTAACTGCTTCTTTACCTGTCTTAGGTCAATGAAGGCCAGCTGGAGTGTGTCTCCTTGAAATCCAGGGACCGGCTCTGAACTGGCAAACACTAAGAAGAAACAAAAATACTATCACATAACAATCAAATTTATTTACAGAATACAACACACATAGGTTAGCTAGTGTCATGAACTGTGGCTCTGGATCTGCTTCTTAAACTGCTTTCACACTGCCATGCGCTAACTTGCGACCTCTAGTCATTTTTAATGAGGGAAAGGAACCAGAGGGGAAGTGGTTTAAAACACGGTGGTAGAAGAATGGAATGGTTGCCACCCTCATGAAAGTGCATAGATTTTTATTTCTCTGTATTCTTCTTCTATTGACCTGATGCCTCCTTGCAGCTGAGACACTACTTATAAAATACCCCATGGCTTTCAACAAGACATCTTATTTGCAGATGTTTGACTTCTGGCTGGAAAATGAAATAAATATAAAAAAATATGTGAATTTATTGTTGATATACCATAACGTTTTTTATATAGTATGGTGGTTCTTCAAGTTTTCCTCCCTGTGATCACACTGAATGCAGGCTTACATTTTTTTGAAGGTTATATGAAGACTTTGCAGCCCTATAGATTTAACATTAAATTAAAGCTGCAAGCAGCGATGAACAGGCTCTCGCACCTCTGCGCACCTCGGGGGTGCTGGCAGGATGCCGTCTGACGCGGCAGTTCATTTCTGTCAAAGCTGGACATTGCACACAGCAGTGAGATGGCATATCCTTAATAAAGTGTGGGCACTGGAATGGCCTAGTTCACATTTTGTACTATTTCCTCTTTCCACTAGAGGGCGCTGGAGAAAACACTAATGATATGTCACATTTTTGTAAATCAATGTAGACCACAGCATTTCAATTTCAGGTAAATCAAAAGATAAGTGTCTGATAAGACCTACTTTCTGTTTCCACTAGGTGGTGCTATGATTATCATGGAATACGGTCATTTAGATGTGTTCAGGATGGGACTAATATGAATTATGTGACGTTTGGTGGACATCCGACCATTTACTTCAAAATTATAGCAATTTCCTGTTTCATGGCGAGACATCAAAATTAAACATTCTGCAGCGGGCATGCCCTTCAACGTTAGGTAGATCTTGTAATAACTTTTGATCACAAAGTAGTCAAGCTCACACAAACCAAGTTTGAAGCCAATCCCATTAAATCTGTAGGAGAAGTTTGTTAGAATACAACACATGGGAAACGCCAAAACTGACCACAGAATTTAAAATGGCCGACTTCCTGTTGGATTTAGGCAAAAGGTACAGGGGCTTTTTTGTGCATCAGGGCATGATACATATGTGTACCAATTTTTGTGCATGTTGGTGAAACATGCCGCGGGAACAGCTCTTCAAAAGGCATGGCCAAGCCATTTTGCCACACCCATTGACGAAAGTCATATCACGTGTCCAGGAGCGTGTGAAGTTTCAGGCAGATTGAATGAAGTACACCTAAATTAATGCCAATTGATGTGTTTTGGCGAAACAGCGATCTTCGCCCTGCCCTGCTATGCCGTTTGATGAAAACTCACAGTTTCCACAATAAAGCATCATCAAGGCCTTATGGCTTTTTTGACCAAGTTTGAGGTGGAGCTTGTCAACTCTGTAGATGTACAGTACAGGCCAAAAGTTTGGACACACCTTCTCATTCAATGCGTTTTCTTTATTTTCATGACTATTTACAAAGCAGATCCTCACTGAAGGCATCAAAACTATGAATGAACACGTGGAGTTATGTACTTAACAAAAAAAGGTGAAATAACTGAAAACATGTTTTATATTCTAGTTTCTTCAAAATAGCCACCCTTTGCTCTGATTACTGCTTTGCACACTCTTGGCATTCTCTCCATGAGCTTCAAGAGGTAGTCACCTGAAATGGTTTTCCAACAGTCTTGAAGGAGTTCCCAGAGGTGTTTAGCACTTGTTGGCCCCTTTGCCTTCACTTTGCGGTCCAGCTCACCCCAAACCATCTCGATTGGGTTCAGGTCCGGTGACTGTGGAGGCCAGGTCATCTGCCGCAGCACTCCATCACTCTCCTTCTTGGTCAAATAGCCCTTACACAGCCTGGAGGTGTGTTTGGGGTCATTGTCCTGTTGAAAAATAAATGATCGTCCAACTAAACGCAAACCGGATGGGATGGCATGTCGCTGCAGGATGCTGTGGTAGCCATGCTGGTTCAGTGTGCCTTCAATTTTGAATAAATCCCCAACAGTGTCACCAGCAAAACACCCCCACACCATCACACCTCCTCCTCCATGCTTCACAGTGGGAACCAGGCATGTGGAATCCATCCGTTCACCTTTTCTGTGTCTCACAAAGACACGGCGGTTGGAACCAAAGATCTCAAATTTGGACTCATCAGACCAAAGCACAGATTTCCACTGGTCTAATGTCCATTCCTTGTGTTTCTTGGCCCAAACAAATCTCTTCTGCTTGTTGCCTCTCCTTAGCAGTGGTTTCCTAGCAGCTATTTGACCATGAAGGCCTGATTGGCGCAGTCTCCTCTTAACAGTTGTTCTAGAGATGGGTCTGCTGCTAGAACTCTGTGTGGCATTCATCTGGTCTCTGATCTGAGCTGCTGTTAACTTGCCATTTCTGAGGCTGGTGACTCGGATGAACTTATCCTCAGAAGCAGAGGTGACTCTTGGTCTTCCTTTCCTGGGTCGGTCCTCATGTGTGCCAGTTTCGTTGTAGCGCTTGATGGTTTTTGCGACTCCACTTGGGGACACATTTAAAGTTTTTGCAATTTTCCGGACTGACTGACCTTCATTTCTTAAAGTAATGATGGCCACTGGTTTTTCTTTAGTTAGCTGATTGGTTCTTGCCATAATATGAATTTTAACAGTTGTCCAATAGGGCTGTCGGCTGTGTATTAACCTGACTTCTGCACAACACAACTGATGGTCCCAACCCCATTGATAAAGCAAGAAATTCCACTAATTAACCCTGATAAGGCACACCTGTGAAGTGGAAACCATTTCAGGTGACTACCTCTTGAAGCTCATGGAGAGAATGCCAAGAGTGTGCAAAGCAGTAATCAGAGCAAAGGGTGGCTATTTTGAAGAAACTAGAATATAAAACATGTTTTCAGTTATTTCACCTTTTTTTGTTAAGTACATAACTCCACATGTGTTCATTCATAGTTTTGATGCCTTCAGTGAGAATCTACAATGTAAATAGTCATGAAAATAAAGAAAACGCATTGAATGAGAAGGTGTGTCCAAACTTTTGGCCTGTACTGTACATTAAAGTATAAAACATGATATTTCCTGTTACCAGTAGGGGGCGCTATAACTATCACTAATTATTGACATGTATTGACATTGTTCAGGGAGGGACTGTTATCAATCCTGTGAAGTCTGGGGAAGACTGGACCATGTATGCTGGAGTTATAAACTACTTCCTGTTTTGTGGCGAAACACCTAAGTTTAATGCCTTGCCAAGGTCACACGAGTGATGAAAATTCAAGCTTGTCATAACTTTGCTTCTTCAATGTCTTCTGATGGGATAGACCAACTTTTGAAGTCGATCAGATTAAATCTCTAGGACTAGTTTGTTAAAGTACGACCCCTGGAAATGGCAGGGAAAAAATGCACCAAAATTGCACAGTAAATTCAAAATGGCGGACTTCCTGTTGGGTTTAGTGTATGGGTCCAAGAGGCTTTTTTGTACGTCCTGGGATGTTACATGTGCCTACCAAGTTTTGTACATGTAGGTGAAAGCAGCTTCAGGGGCTGTTTTGTTGAAATTTTGTAGGGGGCGCTACTGTGTCAATTTTTGGCACCTGAGCAGTAGACACTTAAAATATAACATATTTCAGCAGTCTTGATATTTACTCAAAGTTTCATGGGTTTTAAAGTATGTTAAGCCCCACAAAAAGCCAATTCATTTGGAGGAAGAAGAATAATTCCTTGCATTTCAATAGGGTCCTTGCACCGCTTGGTGCTTGGGCCCTAATTATAACATTGATAAAAAGGAACATTACATTTATTAATACTTACATTCACACTGAATGACATCTAAGTTGAATTGCTGGATAGCCCCCATACTGATCTGTTTGAGTTCTGTGTCCAGCAGCATCTGCATCAGTGACGTGGACAGATGCTTGCAGGCTGACATACACGCTGTCTGAGCCACTTTACCCTGCAGAGAGAGGGACAGGGGGGTGGAGGGAGGAGAAGAAGGGTGACAGAGGATTCAAAAGAGGAGGGAAAGATGGAAAGGCATAGGAAGGATTAGGATGGGGATGAGAAGGAGAGAAAATGAGGATGTCTTTTTGGTTTAAGACTGCTTGACTTTCAGGAGAAGATCGTCTGAGACTGTGGCATTCACAGGCAAAGTGAACAGCTGATCGCCAACAAGACGAGTCTGTTTTAAACCACTACCAAAACAAAATGTGAGTCGCTGCTGCAAACATGCTGAGAGACCTTTCAGCCTCAGCAAGAGCAGCGCAAAACTGAAGACTGGCAAGCAACACTCACTACATACACAGTCTACCTTCTCTGCACCATGTATCATAATGTATACATCAGTGCAGACAGAAAGGTGCGTGGGGCTTTTAAAGCAGGGACTTGTATCGATATCCTGCGTGATGTCGATACAAATTGCAATGGCAACAACCAATCACAATGACAATGAATTACCAACACAGAAGCAACACAATGCACATACAACAGAGACAAAAGCACTTAGACAGAGCATGTGAGTGTCTGGTGGTAAAAAAAAAAAAAAAAGTTGTTGATGAATGCCATTATGACTTTATACTGGAAGCAGGAACCACACGTGTGCAGTTATTGAGTGAAAGTGGGGTGACGCATCTAATAAGATGAAAAAAAAAAAGAGGAATTCAATTCACATTTTTTATTTTATTTATTATCTCTTGTTTCGGTTTTGGGACCAAAAACCCCAAATTATGTGGCTTAAATTGCCCCTAGTGGTATCTACTAGAGATGCACCGATTTATCAGCTGAAGATCAGTATATTTGCCTTGTTGACTGCCATCGGCCTATCAGCAAATAAGATAATGTTCACCACTGGCAGTGGCCAATGTTTTTCTGTTGTATTACATCAATTTTGCGCAGGCTAAAAAGCAGGGTTCCAGATTAATGGCATTCAATCTTCCTGGGGCCAACAGAAAATGTGTTTGGGACAAACAGAGATCTTCCTGGGATGCCTTCGGGACAATAGGATGCAGTAAACTCACTAGTGATGTGTCAGGGGACGCACCCTATTGTTTTCCTAATAGTGCTACATTGTGAAAAACAAATCTGTGTTGACATCTACAGGAGAAGCACTACTTAACGTTAGCTTTTAGCAGCCAGTCGCCGTAACTAACTGCTGACAAAGGTTTCATTAAGTTACATTATGATGCGTTCAAGCTCTATTCAGTAAAAATGAGTATTGGGTGAAGGTAAATTATAATGGTTTCATGATATGTTCAAATGTAATCTTTTAAAATGTAGTTTTGTCAATACACTTGAATAAATACAGTTGTCTGAAGGAGAAATTTGCTGATGCTTCAGAGCAATATAAAACAGATATTAGAGAGAGGGAATTATGATACTTTTTATATGTAAAGGTTTTTTTTTAAGGTTTTGGAGGCAGTTTTTTAAAAGATGTTTTTTCATGTTAAAGGTAATATTAAACATTGTTTCATAAATTTGTATGATTGAATTTGTGCTAATTTAAAGATTTTTTTAGTAAGATTTCTTTGTTTCCCTTTAACAAAAGGATTAAAAATAACAACAAAAACAACAACAACAACTCATCAAAAATACAGACGCTTGGTCTATGACCCTACACATCAAACTATGGCGCTCTAGGTACCCTGTGTCAGTTTTGGACACTTAGGGGCTGAGTGTAAATCTATGCTTGTTACATGTATTGTGTCTTTTCAAAATAAACTTCAGTTTTAAAAGAAAAAGTACAGTTTCTGCTTGTCATTTGGTTTACTTTATTAGCTTTAGGCAACAAAAGCAGAGAGTTAGGTTTAGAAAAAAACATCATGGTCTGGCTTAAAATAAGTACAATTGTTACAAACTTTATGTAACGTCACATGACATGCCTCACTAGTGCAGTATGCCACATATACTAGCACACTACGTTAACTTGGCTGACTTTTAGTTTCACATGAGACACAAACAGCAATCTAACTGGTGAAAGTCTGGAATTTGTTTGACCCCTCCACCTCCACTCCTGTCCGCCTTGTGCAGACTTTCTCCCTCTTTATACTATGCCAGTTGCTCGGAGCTTCAAAAATGCTGCTGCCTGCTTCATCTCATACCGCCGGTAAAGGGTGCCTCAAACGTCGGTATTTGACAAGTTGGGTGTGAGACTGCATTGCAGTATCGATATCGGCCAAATTATTGTTTTAAACATGGGTATCAGTATCAGCCCAGAATTTCACAATTGGTGCATTCCTAGTATCTACACCTTAAAAAATGATTCTTAACTGTATTGGACAGTTATCACTTTTAAAAAATGACCTTACAATGGATATGTGCTGAAACATGCCACTACCATGAAGTCAAAATTATAATTGGGTTATACAATCTGTCACTGAAAGGTATGAGACCATTTACATTGCTTTTAATTTCCCAACCTGTGTTCTTTGCAAAACATCACACATACAACAAAAACCACAAATAGCCCAACACATGCAGGTCAGGCACAACATGAGCTCAATCAATAATCAGACCTTTGTAATACTCCACATACCTCCACAGCATCATGTTTACAACTCAAAAGAAAACATGAATTGTGAGCGTTTCCACCACTTGTGGTGCTCTTGACTCTGCTCATTTTATGAGCAGGTATGTTTTGACTTATTATCCACAGCAAAACAAGTGGAACTGAGTTAAGTTTTACCTCCCATCAAGTGTTTGAAACGCTAACAGTAACTTTGAATGAACCTATAAATTACAGTAAGTGTTTGTGGCGAACAGGAACAGCAGCTCAAAACAATCAACTCTCACGGATACTCATGCAAAAACTGTCAAACCCAGGGATGATGTGGTGACCCCAACGTCAAGGATAATGCACATCCAGCAGTCTGAGTAAGAGTGCCGTGAGGAAACACCCCTATTAAAAACAACACTAAGGAGACAATCAGTGATTCCTGTAATCAAAGATATGTGAGTGAAAAACAAAAATCACTGTTGGCACCTTGTGAAATTGTTCTTGGAATGACAGTAAGGCTACAGAGGATTGATGTAAGAAATGTGAGTGTTTAGCTTCTAAAACCAAAACAGTCATTTATGACTCTCCTTTGTTTGAGCTCCACATCATCCCTTTTCTCATCCGTCATGCTGACAACTGACTGGCAGACAGACAGCAGTGATACATGGTGTGGCAGCATTAGGGGTAGTCCATTCACTCTAAGCTGGTATCACATCTCAGCCTATTGACTTTAAGTTTGTTTGATCACAAAACTTAAGTGCTGAGTCTGCATAGACATGTAGACTCTTAGGGACCATTCACACACAGATGTCGAGAAAGGCTTTATTCCATGCATGCCTACAGAAGGGAGTGCCTGCTCACACTCAAAGTACTTCCACACTAAGCCTGCTTAATCTAAAAATATAGTGTGAAAACTGTTTTGGCCTTGCATCCACACTGAGTCAATGTTTTTGGGCACCACAAACTAAACTTTTCGAAAAATGGTCAGCTTGACATTTAAGGCTACATTCACACTAATATGTTTTCATTTTAAACGGTGCTTTAAAATGCAGGAAGTAAGGGTGACATTTTTTTGTCAAAAGCCCATGGTCTTAAGTCTCACTGGCTTCCTTGTGTCTCGTGCTTCTCTGTATGAACAACCATGAGGGCTGAACGCTGTCTCAAAGTAATTTATTGACATCTTGCTTTCACTCTGACCAGTGTTCTGTTCACTTAGAGAGAAATAATAGCCCCATGACATTGTATGAAAGCAAAGCAGCTCACTTCTTCTCAGAGGGACAAGATTACCCAGAATCCCTTATGTTAGATTCCTTGGCCCAGTGACATACAATCTCATACCCTGGGGTGAAAGTAAGCTGGTACGGTCCGGTACTGTGTACCACTAAAAGATTCAGTGGCGGTACACAGGACCAGGAAGATCTGCTAGCAATACATGCAGTTTTAAACACCACTTTGTCTGTTTATTAATTGCTTTTAACTTGTTCCGAATTGCTTCTGAACTGTCCGTGCTGTGTTTTGGTCCATGCTGGACGGAGCCTTGCTGCCTGGACATCTCCCTCTCTCCCCCAGCCCCTCCCCTGGGAGAGAGTCCGGGGATCTCCTATGAGCCCAGCCTTTGAGACGTGCAACACTCCGTTAAATGTCATTCAGTTCATCAAAAAATATCCCAATTAAAATCAGTAGCATAATAAGCAGATGCGTTCCATGTTATTTTATTTAATTCAACAACACAGAGAACAGCTTGAACAAGCTGCGTGTGAGCTAAAGATCAGGGATTTCGCTCTCAGCAGTATGTGACTGCGCATGCACGTCTACTTCCGAAACACAGCGGTTGGGGTGCGTTGGACCACGGACGTCAATAAAACGCTGTTTGCACCAGGACAGGACAAACAATAAATGAAACCAATAAAATTCCACACATTCTTGTGGTTGGCTCAAACGCTGTCAGTGTGATTTAAAGAAACACAATGGAGGATTGTGCTTTTTACCTCATGGGGGCCCCCTACAGACGAAAAACGGTATTGTCTATTACAATTGTTGCAAAAATCTTTCTGCGCGTGCATTTGTCCGCAGTCTCTCATTCACTGCTATTATGATTTATGATCACAGTCGACACAAGCACACTGCGCTCGCGGTGCTAACAGCAAACTGTTAAAGACAAACTAAAATGAAAGCTGTCCATATGTAGGCTAACACTTTATCTTAAAATGTACCTGAGGCAGCCGACCTGCAGTCAGCGAGTCTCCTAAGTAGAGGGTAACAGCAGTAACAGCGCCAAATCACCATCGGTTGGGCATCCCTCCTCCTCTTTCAGCTCTCGCCAGCGTGTCAAAGCCGGGCCAATCTTAATCCTTCTTCGAGCTCTTGTTTTATTGCTCTCCCGTTTTCTTTTCTTTGTCTCCTCGGACAACACCTTGACAACCTTCTTCCTTTTCTTCGTCGCTTCAGCCGTGACAACCACGTCTAACTTCGTTCAACTCAGTTTGGCTACGCTACTCTAAAGAGAGGAGGGGGATATGATGTATGCCATAAAGCAGCCAAATTTTGTAGTCCTTTTTGTGTGTGGGTTCCTACCCAAACCCCAAAACTGCATAGCACCAGTGCAAGCGAAACAGACACTCTCAAGCAATGACGGAGGTGTCATCCAACCTATTGTGAGTTGATGTACCATCACAAGGATCTTGGATATATATTTTGAGGGCTCAAAAACTCCATTGTGTTGCTTTAAATAGTAAATATTTAAATAATTTATTCAGTTGCGGATGTTGATCAATGTTTTTTACAACGAAAAATAGGTAAAGAGGAAAAAATAAAAAGAGAAAAAGAAAAAAAAGACATGCATGGTTTTAAGTGTTCATTAAGGTTTCATGCATGCCAGCACCCTAAACATTAAAACGAATATTTTACTCTACATGTTGTGAAGTGTATCTAATTTCTTTCTACTCCATACAGGTACAGTAAAATACAGAAATGTTTTTATTTGTTTGGTTTTTGACTTTGCTTTTTAAAAATGCATGAAGCAAGGAGAGGTGAACAATAGGAAGCAAAGAAGGTTTTGGTAATAGTACCGGCAAGAATTTAAAACTACTTTCACCCCTGCTCATACCTCATAAACAGTAAAGAAAAAAAAAGAAATCTAAGGCTACAGAAGCACGAACTGGGCCAACTGAGGCAAATAGAAAATGGTGATTAAGTAGCAATTAGCCCCTCCTAAGTCCTGCTCCTTTTCGCTCTGTGCTCCAATAAAAGTTGAGCAACCTTGGAACTTAGCAGGTCAACTTTCTCCTCTGCTGTTATACTTCGACATGCTATGTGATAGGCTCATCTATGTTCAAAAGAAAAACAAATTTTGAAGATGGGTAAGAGATGTGGCTAGGGGACTTTCAGTCTTCACTGACACATTACATCAGATATAGATAGTCACATCTTAACTTAGCTAATGTTAGCAAAATGCTAGCTAACTAGCTAGCTACATCAAGAGGAGTTAGCCTCATGGCAGATCACCAATGTCCACCAGGCTTGCTTCCTCCTTATTTCTTTGGAAAGATTAAAGTAATTTGTAAAAAGGGCAGATGGTGGTTGGTTGCTGAGATATTTTTTATCAGGAATTATTAGCCCCTTATACACTACCTGTTCAGGGCGGGAATATCGTGCCATTTTGCCACTTCACCGTGCTGTATATGCGTATGATTGCGGAATGGGGGACAGAGTTGTCTCACCTTTAATCCACCACAGGAGGTAGTAACAATGCTGAAACAATGTCTGTCTAAACATGACAGCCGACAGGATGACTGTGGGAAGGACAGGTGTGACGTTTTGAGAATGAGTTTTGTGTGCGACCCACCACGGGAATTTTAAAAAGTAGCTGTTAGCAGTTAGCAACTAACTCAAAAAGGAAGTGGCTGCAGATGTCCGCAAATTAGGAAAACAATGAGGTCCAGAAGCTCCTTACTTTTCCAGTTGAGGACTAGATCAGCTGCAATATAACAGGGACAGTAAATGATTGTTATTGCCATGTTTTGCCATTGTTATTGTGTATAAAGTGCAGAAGGGACTTTGTTGCCACCCTATAGCACGATCTTTGCCAGAAGCCAGAAAAGATCAAGGCCAATATTAGTTTGTTTATATTATTTCTGTAAGGCTACGTGCCACCCAAAAGAAGAACCACCGTACCTTTCTACAGTAAAGAGAGTAATGTTGGGTAAGCAGCATGGTATATTCAGTAATAAATACATAGAGTACTTTACTGATCCCAGGAAGGACCATACCAGCAGTGCAGTAGCAATGTTGACTGATAGTCTTGTCATTCTCAGTATCTACAAAGAATGTGAGGCTTCTCTCTTTTGTGTTCAGATTGAAAGACTCAGTTCATGATGTTTTACCTTGTTCACAAAAATTGTGAATATATTCTCCTTGCTACCAACGTCTTGAAGCTACTGCTCAGGGCTGAGTTGTGGCTGGTTTTGAAGTTTGTGTAACCACTGTTCATACCATGGCAAGTTTTACATACATTAGTAAATTATAACTATAAAATGAAAGGATGTTTTGCTGCCTCTCCCAGCAGCTGTAGTCTGAGAAAAAAAATAACTTAATACACTCGGCCAACTTCCAGTAACTTTTAAGGTGGAACGCTTACTTGTAACTATGAGTTGACGACATGAATCCATCAACACACCTTAAATGTCAGTATGACAACTTTGACCATTCCATTAGTTTTTATTGTCTCTCCTGGATGACATACACTTTTAGTAACCAGTGGATCTTTAAGCGTTAAAAAATATACATGAATTTTTAAATTTATGTGAACTGCATATATTCTAATCCTCATTTGGAGGGAATAAAAAGTGTCTCGGAGCGCCGTTTCTTTGAGCAGAGGCAACATCAAACCCCTTCACTTGCCTGAGAAGGACTAAATGAACAAACTTGCTAGCTTTAAATATCCCATCGAGAAAGTCCACAAAACCCTGTTATGTGGATGATAAACAAGGTACAGACTTCACCGGTAAAGAGAAAATACAGCGAGTGCTGGATGCAGCAGTGACTGACAACAACCCCAGCCACATTAAGGGTACTGTTTGCGGTGGAAAAACAAACTGGACCTAGGGTCTCGGTACCATGTCTGAAGGATTACTTATGGTTTCAAAGGAACTATACCAAAGGTGTTTGGTGAAAATAGGGTTTTTGTCACTCATGATAGCAGTTGCTATTGTGCCCGACTTTGAAAAAGTATTTCATAGCAACTACACCTATTCTACTTTTCTACGTTGACACCTTTTGTTCTGAAATCATGCCTCCCCCTTTTTTCTGAAACCAAACCTACACCCATGTAAGCCAGACAAAGAATTAGCAAGGCACTGTAACGTCTGTAATATAAATATTAAGTTACAATAGGTGCCAGAAAAACCAACAAGGCTTCCACAGTCAAATATAAGCATGCTTTTCATTTCCCACTGCCTGTAGAACGGCAGCATAGTGTTGTAACAGCCAGGCAGGGATACTCACCGACATCGACGCATGGTCATTGTTGTTATTCTGAGCAGAGACACCCCCAAACCAACCAAAAATGGAGGAGGGGAAGGGAAAGAGGAAAAGGACAGGAAAAGAAACGTGGCAACAATAAATGGACAGGAGGAGGTAAATTCAACTAGAGATATCTTGCATGCTTGACAAGTCAAATTAATCAAGGAATAAAACTGCCAGTAAAACAAATTAGTCACAGCGCTGTTCATTAGTTACAGCAGGGGTGGGGATGGGGAGATAGGAGATGTTCTTGAGAAAGAAATTACAAAATCAACAAAAGCTCGAACTCATTCAAGACATGGTAAGAGATGCTGGAGAGAAGAGCAGGCAAGTGGCCCACTGAGAGTGGAAGTGAACAAGCTGTAGCTGTCAGGGCCAAAACACATTTACTGACCAACTACTTCACACACTGATATCACCAAATGTGTTGTTGAAGATAATGCCAGTATGTGCAAAAGCAGTCAACGAGTCAGTAACAGCACAGTTACCATGCATATGGACAGATCACCAATGCAATACATACTCGGTTCAACTTTATATTCAAAATGTAAAACATGTCACTTCCAGACAGTACACACACTTTAATAGGGATGTGTCATGGCAAAAAAGCTGTTGGAGTTTAGGGAGTAAAGGAGTGATCACATCCCTATCATTAACAAAAACACGATCAAAACTGACAAACAGCATCCGAAAGCAGATAACAATGGATCTGAAAACCAACAAGACAATGTCCCACTATTCCAAGAGAAAGGTGGCAGGGCTCAGTGGGTCACAGGTTAGTGGATGGTGGATCAGACTCACCGGGAGGTGTGTGAAGACCTGGAAAGTGGACCGTAGGAAGTTGATAAGGTCCATGAGGTATCCAGAGGCACGACCGTCCGACTCAGCCATACCCCATTCATAGTCTGCTAGCTGGATAAACTCATCAATCTTCTGGTTGAGTTTGGTATAAATCTCTCCCTCTGCAGCATGACGAGCATCCTGCAAAATAGCTTTTATAAGCCCCTTTGACAAGACCTATGGACTAAATAAAGTTCTAAATATAGTCATTTAGGAAAAAAATAATAATATATAACCTGATATAATAATAACCTGAGAACGGTTACACTAGCTGTTATGTTAGCGTTAGCAATGTGTCAGACCATGGTTCGAATCTCAGAACCCACTGGCTCTGAGATTATCATCCTCAGACCGATGTCTGAGGATGATAAGCCTTGGGGGCAATATAAAATATTTTGGAACATCTGGTGTGGCAAGTGGATAGAGAGGCCAAAACTTCCTCTTCTGTGACCCAGTCATTGTGGCTAATCTCTATAAACAGATATGTGCATCTGAATGCAAATAAATACATCTTTTTAGAAAAATCTGATGAAAAGAAATGGTCATCAGACGAGACGAGTACCTGCTGCTGAAATAATGTGACTGGCAGAGATAGGTGTGGGTGCTATGTAGCCTGCAGCAGAGATGAGGAGCTACAGAGGCCTGGTAATGTCACTTCTTTCTGACTTTGCACCTCCCGATTTTTTTTTCTAACTCAAGTGACATCACTTGAAGACATTTATCAGACTGTCTAAAGTTGGTAGATTTTATATCTACATATATATATATATATATATATATATATATATACAGTACAGGCCAAAAGTTTGGACACACCTTCACATTCAATGTGTTTTCTTTATTTTCATGACTATTTACATTGTAGATTCTCACTGAAGGCATCATAACTATGAATGAACACATGTGGAGTTATGTACTTAACAAAAAAAGGTGAAATAACTGAAAACATGTTTTATATTCTAGTTTCTTCAAAATAGCCACCCTTTGCTCTGATTACTGCTTTGCACACTCTTGGCATTCTCTCTATGAGCTTCAAGAGGTAGTCACCTGAAATGGTTTCCACTTCACAGGTGTGCCTTATCAGGGTTAATTAGTGGAATTTCTTGCTTTATCAATGGGGTTGGGACCATCAGTTGTGTTGTGCATAAGTCAGGTTAATACACAGCCGACAGCCCTATTGGACAACTGTTAAAATTCATATTATGGCAAGAACCAATCAGCTAACTAAAGAAAAACGAGTGGCCATCATTACTTTAAGAAATGAAGGTCAGTCAGTCCGGAAAATTGCAAAAACTTTAAATGTGTCCCCAAGTGGAGTCGCAAAAACCATCAAGCGCTACAACTAAACTGGCACACATGAGGACCGACCCAGGAAAGGAAGACCAAGAGTCACCTCTGCTTCTGAGGATAAGTTCATCCGAGTCACCAGCCTCAGAAATTGCAAGTTAACAGCAGCTCAGATCAGAGACCAGATGAATGCCACACAGAGTTCTAGCAGCAGACCCATCTCTAGAACAACTGTTAAGAGGAGACTGCGCCAATCAGGCCTTCATGGTCAAATAGCTGCTAGGAAACCACTGCTAAGGAGAGGCAACAAGCAGAAGAGATTTGTTTGGGCCAAGAAACACAAGGAATGGACATTAGACCAGTGGAAATCTGTGCTTTGGTCTGATGAGTCCAAATTTGAGATCTTTGGTTCCAACCGCCGTGTCTTTGTGAGACGCAGAAAAGGTGAACGGATGGATTCCACATGCCTGGTTCCCACTGTGAAGCATGGAGGAGGAGGTGTGATGGTGTCGGGGTGTTTTGCTGGTGACACTGTTGGGGATTTATTCAAAATTGAAGGCACACTGAACCAGCATGGTTACCACAGCATCCTGCAGCGACATGCCATCCCATCCGGTTTGCGTTTAGTTGGACCATCATTTATTTTTCAACAGGACAATGACCCCAAACACACCTCCAGGCTGTGTAAGGGCTATTTGACCAAGAAGGAGAGTGATGGAGTGCTGCGGCAGATGACCTGGCCTCCACAGTCACCGGACCTGAACCCAATCCAGATGGTTTGGGGTGAGCTGGACCGCAGAGTGAAGGCAAAGGGGCCAACAAGTGCTAAACACCTCTGGGAAGTCCTTCAAGACTGTTGGAAAACCATTTCAGGTGACTACCTCTTGAAGCTCATGGAGAGAATGCCAAGAGTGTGCAAAGCAGTAATCAGAGCAAAGGGTGGCTATTTTGAAGAAACTAGAATATAAAACATGTTTTCAGTTATTTCACCTTTTTTTGTTAAGTACATAACTCCACATGTGTTCATTCATAGTTTTGATGCCTTCAGTGAGAATCTACAATGTAAATAGTCATGAAAATAAAGAAAACGCATTGAATGAGAAGGTGTGTCCAAACTTTTGGCCTGTACTGTATATATATATATATATCATATACCTCGTATCACTTTCCTTCCACTTGGTAATTATGCTCTACTTTGTGTTGGTCTATCACATAAAATCCCAATACAATACAAGTTTGTGCTTGTAACGTGACAAAATGTGGAAAAGTTCAAGGGGTATGAATACTTTTGCAAGGCACTGTATGACACTTGTTTTACAGTACCCTAGGATTACAAAACCTGGCACACCGACACAACAACACTCTATCCTGTTAAAACAATACTCACAACTTGGATTAATTTTTATATTATTTTATTATATTATTATTGATTCTTTTGATCTGAGGAATAAAGGAATATGAATAACTTAGAGGGTAATTGAGGAATGGACACATAATTTGACTTTATGACAGCTTCAGAAGTAGAGATACTTTTTGTTGTCTCTAGTTTACCAGGCAGTTAAATCCCATCCTCATTATGCTTTGGTGCTCATGGCTTTAGTAAAATGAACAGAACAATTGAATAATAGACAATCTACCTGAGCTAACATTATGTAGGATCTCCATACTCAAGTGGCTGCCAACAACCCGGTTTTATACATCCAAAGAACTTCTAGAAAAATGAACTGCTTAGTGGGGCATCTGTAGCATAAGTGGATAGTGCCGGCGCCCCATGTACAGAGGCGATGCCTTGCTGCAGTGGTTGCAGGTTCGACTCCGGCTTGCTTGTCAACCCCCACTCTCTCTCTCACCCCATTTCATAGGGTATATATATATATATATATATGTATATATACTCTGTCTCTAGTATGATTGGCATCACAGTGCTTTCAATAAGAACAGACAATACTGCAGGTCTATTTTTAGTATTTTGACAAAGGAAATACTGTGAAGTGCAGCACCCTTAAGGCCATTTTGTGTGACCTTAAGGGTGCTATTGAAATAAGACATTATTCTACCAACAAGCTGCAGAATAAATACAAATACAGCATAATGACACAAAGAAGAATTCACATTTACCTTGAATGTGGAAAGGCCATAGAGTCTTGTGGTGTGTACTGTTTCGGGGGAGACATTGGTAATGTTTGTTATAAACTCCTCTAGATACCTGCAGGCCTGCTCCAGGTGTGTGGTGTTAATGATGATCTGCACCAGCTACAGAGAAGAGGTTACAGCATTAGACTCAGTGACGACATTCTGAGTCTTGATGATGTGTGTGTGTGTGTGTGTGTGTGTGTGTGTGTGTGTGTGTGTGACTAGTAAGGCAGCATTGTTCCTACCTCAGTCAATCCTATGTGAGGTTTCTTGATGAGGTTTTGCAGACAGCTGCTGAGTGTTCTTGTCAGCAGCAGGTTGGTTGATTTTCGCAACATGTCGTCAATCTCTGTTGAACTGGATATACAACCAAAGTTTACATCTAGTTAGTCCAGATATTCTAGTTACACAACAAAGAGAGAAAAAGTCAGAGAAGATTCCATATGTCGATGGGGATCGTGATCGTTCTGTGGGACCGACCTCCGGTGTAGTGACTCAGAGAACTTGAGGCTGGCGTAAATGAACTCTTTGACCTGTGTGTAGATTTGAGGAACAGACTGGGACATTGGCAACTTCTTTGGAAAGTCCTGCTGCTCACACACAAACACAAAAAACACAGAAAAAAAACAGTATTAAAGGATTTATTGTCTAAAAAACACCCAGGTTAGTAATTTTAAGTCTTATTCATTTGCTTCCATGTTAATGGTTCTATGACTCTAAATGTTGTGGAAGGTAACAGAGGGTAAGGGTAGGAGGTAGTTGAACTTGTTACCTTCTCTATCTCAGCATCGTGGAAAGGAAAGCGGCTGACTACCAGTTTATACTCCTCCTCTGTCTCCACTGGGATGGGACTGTAGTTGTCCATTTCAAAGATCTCCCTGTGAAACAAAAACACAATTCAGCTCACGTGTGCACACTTGCGCGCGAGACCAGCGAAAGCACGTGAACACACATGAACGGGTGCCCATGTCTCATGGTCTCGCGCAAGCGCGCACATGTGAGCGCGATACACAGAGAAGCAGTTAGAGCTGCAGCCTACAATGAGGCTAAAAACAGAGTTCAAATGACGTTTTCCCAAATAACTTTTTATGTCAGGGCTTCAGGACACTTGAATCACTACAGACGAGCAGTATGGAGATATTTTGTGGTTTCAATTATGTGTTTTTGGACGTTTGAATCTGGGGTGCCGTAAGCCTTCATTAGGTGGAGTTGTGTTGCCACCCCATCTCCCCTTGGATCTCCGCAAGTGATGTGAGGACTCTAAAACTTCACCTGAGCCTCCATCGGCATATGGGTGAGTAGATAATGGCTGAATTTTCATTTTGGGTGCACTATCCCTTTAATAACTTTATAATAATAAAGTTAATAACTCTGTCCACACTGAATCCATTCAATGTGCACTTCTGTGTATATAGCTAACAACAAGTAGGTTGTTTTTAGCAATGTTCATTACCAGAAACTTCCAGCTCCAGTGTGCGTGTTGGGTGCGGGTCATTGATTAACAGATTGTCTCTCATAATGGGCTGGGTTGGTGCAAGTTTTAAAAAACCCTGACTACTGCATCACTACACCCCAGAGTCCCTTCATGTTTATTGTCTACCCAGTTTCTGCCTTGTGTTTGATGCAGGACAGAGCCTGGCTATTGGTTGTTGACAACTTTTACATCGTTGAATTTAAGTATCTGCATGAGCCAAGACTAAAGCTTATGATAACATTAAACGTTTGATTTTATTAGAACCTCGAGATGAGAAAAAGACTCATTAGGACAGCTCAGACTAAGTTTTAAGCCCATCTTATGCCAAACGATTGAGATCACAGGAGTCTGCAGCAACTGAGGTAAAACTGTCATAATTTTACTCCAGCACTGGAAATTTGTCTGCAATGGTGAAATCGCTTGAAAAGTCATTTGCCGTTAGGGTCAACACATTGGTCTTACAATAAAGTTGTTTTTAATTCTACATGTATTGCTGGAGTTTTGGTCTTTTAAGACCGCCTTCTCTTTTCCATGCACCTTACAAGTAGGTTGTGCCAGGAATCACGGCTCTACAAATGTTCATTCTAAAAGCTTAACTCCTGAAGAAGCACAACACAAACCTCTGTCTTTGCTGAGTAGGAAGCAAAATAAACAGGATATCCCTACCTGCTTGGTTTCATGTGATTATCTCACATGTAAAATGAAGGATGGAAATCCTATTATAGGTCAACACACACACACACACACACACACACACACACACACACACACACACACACATCCGCAAAGCCCACCTGAAAACCACTGCCCACTTCTTCAGCAGAGTCTCATTGTATTGGTCTCTGACCTCAAACAGCAGGTCAAACAGCCGGTTCACTGGGAAACCATAACCCTAGACACAAACATATAAAACATTGAGTGTGTTTGTTAATCTCAGTTAATCTCACATAGGATTTTAAGATGAGCCCTGAACCGACCAACCTGTAGTGTGTCAGCGAAGATGACTATGAGGTTCTTCAGCTCCAAGACCAGGTCTGGGTCATCACAGTATGACTGCAAATAACAAACATAGTCATCACCAAACAACTCTCAAAAGTGGCAGGTGAGGAGAAAAAAATCCCTTGACAACAGCAGCAACTATAATATTAAAATTATTAAGAAGAAATGTTAAAGGGATAGTTCAGATTTATTGAAGTGGGGTTTTTATGAGGTATTTATCCATAGTCAATGTATTACCTGAAGTAGCTGTCTGTCAGCACACCTAAAAAAAAGTCCCACCAAAAAATATATTTGTATCAGTTCAAGCATAACTATATTGAGAGTATTTTCACTGCTTTGTTTCATTCAGACAGCGATTTCCGAAGGGAAACTGAGGCCATTATATTGCTCTCTTTAAAGCCAGACTTCATTAAGAAAAACAGTGATTTAACATCCCTGAGCACAGAAGTCTCAGGTCTACTGTTGCCTCGATCAATTAGTTTGTCTGTGTTACTGTTACTGTGGTGTTTAAAAGGGTTAGGTAAGTTTCTCCAAAGTCACACAATAACACAAGCAAAATAACTAATCAAGGCATGGGTAGACCAGCAGCTCCTGTGTTCAGCAAGCCAAAATCCCTATTTTTGTCAATGAAGTCTGGTGGCTTTGAAGAGAGCAATGATGTGGAACTGATGCCATTAATGGCTCACCCATTGGAACAAGCTGTCTGACAGAAAGGTGAACTGGTGAAAATACTCTCAATATTGTATACGCTTGAACTGATATACACTTTTTAAGTGGGATTTCTTTTAGGTGGCTGAAATATGTTTTGTCCCTGACCCCCATCGACAGCAATACATTGCTCAGCTTCCATGTCAGACTCCAGCCTGCTTCTCCAAACTGGAAGTGTGCTGACAGACATCTACTGTAGGTAATACACTGACTATGGATAAGCACCTCATATAAACCCACTTCAAAAAAATGTTAACTATCCCTTTAATTAGATTTGTAAATTCAGATGTCTGATTCACAAAGAATTAAATATACAGTACAGGCCAAAATTTTGGACACACCTTCTCATTCAATGCGTTTTCTTTATTTTCATGACTATTTACATTGTAGATTCTCACTGAAGGCATCAAAACTATGAATGAACACGTGGAGTTATGTACTTAACAAAAAAAGGTGAAATAACTGAAAACATGTTTTATATTCTAGTTTCTTCAAAATAGCCACCCTTTGCTCTGATTACTGCTTTGCACACTCTTGGCATTCTCTCGATGAGCTTCAAGAGGTAGTCACCTGAAATGGTTTCCACTTCACAGGTGTGCCTTATCAGGGTTAATTAGTGGAATTTCTCGCTTTATCAATGGGGTTGGGACCATCAGTTGTGTTGTGCACAAGTCAGGTTAATACACAGCCGACAGCCCTATTGGACAACTGTTAAAATTCATATTATGGCAAGAACCAATCAGCTAACTAAAGAAAAACGAGTGGCCATCATTACTTTAAGAAATGAAGGTCAGTCAGTCCGGAAAATTGCAAAAACTTTAGATGTGTCCCCAAGTGGAGTCGCAAAAACCATCAACGCTACAACGAAACTGGCACACATGAGGACCGACCCAGGAAAGGAAGACCAAGAGTCACCTCTGCTTCTGAGGATAAGTTCATCCGAGTCACCAGCCTCAGAAATGGCAAGTTAACAGCAGCTCAGATCAGAGACCAGATGAATGCCACACAGAGTTCTAGCAGCAGACCCACCTCTAGAACAACTGTTAAGAGGAGACTGCGCCAATCAGGCCTTCATGGTCAAATAGCTGCTAGGAAACCACTGCTAAGGAGAGGCAACAAGCAGAAGAGATTTGTTTGGGCCAAGAACACAAGGAATGGACATTAGACCAGTGGAAATCTGTGCTTTGGTCTGATGAGTCCAAATTTGAGATCTTTGGTTCCAACCGCCGTGTCTTTGTGAGACGCAGAAAAGGTGAACGGATGGATTCCACATGCCTGGTTCCCACTGTGAAGCATGGAGGAGGAGGTGTGATGGTGTGGGGGTGTTTTGCTGGTGACACTGTTGGGGATTTATTCAAAATTGAAGGCACACTGAACCAGCATGGTTACCACAGCATCCTGCAGCGACATGCCATCCCATCCGGTTTGCGTTTAGTTGGACGATCATTTATTTTTCAACAGGACAATGACCCCAAACACACCTCCAGGCTGTGTAAGGGCTATTTGACCAAGAAGGAGAGTGATGGAGTGCTGCGGCAGATGACCCGGCCTCCACAGTCACCGGACCCGAACCCAATCGAGATGGTTTGGGGTGAGCTGGACCGCAGAGTGAAGGCAAAGGGGCCAACAAGTGCTAAACACCTCTGGGAATTCCTTCAAGACTGTTGGAAAACCATTTCAGGTGACTACCTCTTGAAGCTCATCGAGAGAATGCCAAGAGTGTGCAAAGCAGTAATCAGAGCAAAGGGTGGCTATTTTGAAGAAACTAGAATATAAAACATGTTTTCAGTTATTTCACCTTTTTTTGTTAAGTACATAACTCCACATGTGTTCATTCATAGTTTTGATACCTTCAGTGAGAATCTACAATGTAAATAGTCATGAAAATAAAGAAAACGCATTGAATGAGAAGGTGTGTCCAAACTTTTGGCCTGTACTGTATATATGTATATATATATATATATATATATGTATATTAAGGTAACAAAACCTGCAGAATCTGCAAAGTAGCCACCTTGTAGTAGATCATATAAATGAATGCTCATTAAGACCTATTCATGACATTGATGGGCTAATTTAGACTTAATAGGCTGTTACCTTGATTCAAAGATGTTTTGCTGCTCCAGACAGATTTTGGCCAATAATGGCTCTTTTAATGGTAAAGGCTGCCGATCTCTGCCCTAAGTAGATATAAACTGCTCATTCTAAGGTAACAAAAACACAATTTTTTATTTTCAAGAGATTAGATACTATGGAAAACATACTTATTTTGCTTCATTCCATTTCTGCCAATACATCCACCTAAATCCCTCACACTGGACATTTAAGCTTGTGTCAACCACAGACCTTATTTTAGACATCTAACCAAAACCCAATAACAAAACCCACTGACTTTACGACAAGGGAACCAGGAGTGTTAATATGCTAACTCATTTACAGGTTTTAGGACTCATTCTATAACACACTACTCTAATGGTAAAAGTATTTTATTTTATAGTCATTATAGTATAATAATAATAATAATCTTAACTAGCCCATGTGGGTTTTGAGGTAACTATCTCTAAACTGGAATACAATAACAGTTCAGTTGCTTTATTTTCCATTTCCTCTGTATGGATCATCTATTGGTAGGGATAATAATGTTTATTTCTTGGACCTGTAAGCTTTAGCCTTTAGTCCCCCAGTGATAGAACAGAAAGCTTGACAGGCATAGCAACAGTAACTGGGGGGGAGGGGCTTACCCAAGGGTCCATCAATACCAACAAAGTCTCTCCATTTTTCTGGAGTGATTTATGACCCTGAAAGCAGCACAGTTGAGTCCCTTAACACTGACAAGTATCCTGCCAAACTCAGGAGTGTGTAAATCAACAGAGTAAATGAACACAGCCTGAGATTTGACGTAAAGCAGCGGCTGCCTGCCTCTCTGTTTACTCAGACACACATGTACACATAACAACAATCAGCTGGAGGCTAGACTACACAGCAACACCTCATAGCAGTGACAAGACTATATCTCACCAGTTTGGACAGTTTTATCAGTCTGTATGTACAATGTTCTGACCCATGCTATATGTGAATATGACATGAGGTTTTAATTATTATAACTATTCTTTTCATTTGTTTCATTATTAATAAACTAATAACAGTTGTGTTGTGAGGGATGTGTTTATTAAAATGTTGTAAGATCTATCAGTATGAAGACCTGTTACTAATTCCCATAAGATGGTTGACATTTTTACACTGAATTAGAGGTGGACTGGCTTGTGGACTTGCTCCCTGTGGGCTGACCATGCAGTGGTTGTAAGGGCTCTGGCTGCATGGAGCTGCCTCTGTCATGGCCCAGCAGAAGGCCTGGAGGCCAGGGGGGAGACCAGGGCCTTTGTTAGTCTTCTCACCCCTAGCTGTGCGCCCCATTCTCTGGCCTGTTTGCATAATCCTCTGGCTCATTTACAACTGACTGGAGCCCAGCGGCCAGGAATATGCCTTCTTAATCTGCTGTTATTGTTGCAATCTGTCTCTCATTAAGGCCCCAATGACCTCCTCTTTGGCAGCATGCGTATGTGTGTTTTGACCTTTTCTCTTGAGAGTGACATCATTAGTGGGTTTGTGGGTGTGCTGACCTCTGCAGTGGTGTGTGTGTGTCTGTGTGTGTATCGGCCTGTGAATGAAGGTTCTACCAGGATAAATAGATCCACAGCAGGCTCTATTATCTCTATTAACTCTAAACAGTCTCATCCTCATTCACAGTCCACTCCCTGCTGTTTGTGTGTGTGTTCATGCATATGTGTATGTGTGTGTGTGTGTGTGTGTGTGTGTGCGCGCGCGCGTGTGGGCCTACAGAGTGTGTGCGAAGCACAGCGATGATCTTGGACAGGGCCATGTTCCACAGTTCATCAGTGAAAGCTCTGGTCACCAGCCCCCGCGTGGCATGGAGGATATGGTCCTCTACAACAAAGAATCTGACACACACAGAAAACACACACATCTCAATACCTTTATTTTTGGTTGTATTGAAACAAACACAACTGACTGACACATTAATGAAACTGATTTTTAAAGTCAGAGGGATGTTTTGTTAAAAATGAAACTGTGTGCCGTAGCAATGAAGTGAAAATTGGAGGAACATCTTACCCTACAATCTGATTGAAGTATCTTCTGTATCCTTCCACTGTTTCATGCTGGACACATACACACACAGAAAGCCATGTTTACACACAGTACATCAATGCATAAAATATTATATCATTGTGGTGGTCATCAACTGGTATTGCATTTGTGAGAAAGGACTGTTTTACATTGTTGGTGTGTTCAGTAAAATTCTAACATCCAAAATTTGACAACAAAAAGTGATGCAAGACTTTGGTTTAACTTTTAACAATGCCCATATATATTTTTGGAGCCAGAGGTAACCATATTTGGGGTGCCCAGTAGCTCAGTGGTTAGAGCAGGCATCCCGTGTACAAAGGCATCATCCTTGCTACAGCAGCCGTGGGCTCAATTCCAGCCTGCGGCCCTTTGCTGCATTTTATCCCCCCTCTTTCCCCCCATAACCCTCACGTCTGTCCTGTCTAATAAAGGCAAAAATCCAAAGAAATAACACAATAAAATGCATATAGGGAGAGAAGTATGCACTGCTGTTTGCCATAGTGTCCTTTAGATACAACCACCAGGGAGCAACAAAGACAGAACTTTCCAAGTTGTACACATTGCGGCTTGAGAGCAACATTATGCAACTTTTTTAACTTAAAATAAGAAGCTTCAAAATCATTTCGATGGTACACTGACTTGCAGGAGGAAGAATGGCGCCTCTTTCATTCCCACACTGCAACCCCGAGTGCCTGCTCTTGTAAAATGTAACTTTGGTGAGCGGGTAGGACCTCCTGGGAGAAGACTATAACGCTTTGTGGCACTATCTCACACACGACTAGCAAGCTATAAGAACAAGCTCGTGCAGTATTCTTAGTGCGGACATCATGGTGGAGGCGAAGAAGCGTGGTTGCAAAAATGCAAACTTTATACCCCTTAGCAATGCATGAATCATACTTTGCAGTTGAGCAAACTAATGCAGGTTTGCAAACTGTTTATACTCAGCCCCTCTTGGATGTAATGCAAATTCAACCAATCCCCTGTAATTTCTTTTGTCCAACAACTTTTAAGCAAATCTGACCAATTATCATAGTTTCCCGCAAGTCATCAAACTCACTTTCTTGTTTCTGATTATGAAGATGCAGATGTGTGTGACACAAATATCTCACATTTCCCGACCAAACTTACTGCTAAAGACCCTGCAGTGAAGTTCCCTGACGTTCCATACGAGCAGCAACATACGAGTGCAACATTGTGGTGGAGCACAAACACTTAATTTCCACAAAACACACCCTGAGAATGGCTGAAATGTGTGTTGTCTGTTAAACCTCGGGAATTGTAATGAGCCGAATATTGTAACATGACCTTTGTTAAATGTTTCTGTTGTTTCTGACTTCATGAGTAGAAGAAATCTCTGCTAGCCATTAGGCTCATTTATACAATGTAAAATGCCATATGCATTAGCATGTTGTGTTTGTGGGGAAATTGTGTCCAGCAAAAGTCAAGTGCTTTGTCTGTAATCCTGTGAGTTACAGTGAAGCTGACTTGTGTTTGAAGCTGCTATTAAACTATTAAGCCATGTTTGGTGTGTGTTTTGGATGTGTTTTGAATCAACTAAACTATACAGCACTTGACAGACACCCCACCGCCAACTAATGTTTTGGAGGTGTAACTGCAGAGTGACACAGAAACAACACAGCACAAGTATTAATGCTCACAACGATATAGGCCACATGTGTAGGCTATGGCTAAGCTGACGCACAAGTATAAATCTGCCTTAAGACGGAACTTCAGTTTGCAGTTGCGGCAACTCAACGCAAACCCCCCAGCGCTGGCAGTCACAGCGGCCTGGTGGCCTGCAGCAGCGCCAGGTCTTACCTGTGTAATGGCAGCAACAGAAAGTTTACTGGGGTTTGCGCTGGCTGAATTCGAGTTGCTACAGTGCAAACTGAAGGTCTGTGTTCATGATAATGGTATATCACTCTGAAACTTCAGGAGCATCAAATCACAAAAATACTAATTCTTGCATAGTCAGATGTGGAATTCAGAGCTTTATGTTTGTTTTTTTTTCTTTTGTAAATTGTAAATATTTCCCAAGTTAACAACTGGAAGGGTTTGTTTATTGCTGCCTTATTTGTTTAGTTACTTAACTGGCTACCAATTTTGCCACGTCTTTGGGATTAACCTTTCTTGTCAAAAACATTTGTCCAATAGAATACGGTCAGTCGGGAATGGTAATTCCTGGTTTGGACTACAAATTTATTGAGGTACTTTGAGCATGTTTGTGTGTTGCTCACCATGTTAGCCTGTGGCTGCAGCACTAGCCTGGCCTGTTTTTTCCTTTGTTTCCTGTAGTAGCTCTCAAATGTTTCTCGGTCACCCTGCAGACAGAGAAATACAACAGACTTCAATTACCTGCCCACAAGTTACTGACAATAACAATAAGATCAAAATAGTTTTGCTGTTGCCTGATGGCCTTTACATGTATACATATGTATATATAATGATATGGAATGCAAAAATATATTCGAAAAATGGTTGCAGGCACACCTACCAGCACAGTGTAAATGTGTAAACACCTGTAGACAGGTGAGAAGTCCACAAGGTCCTGAGCTGTAAGAATCTGTTTGATACAGATAAGGAAAACAATATTTCTTAGATTTTACTTACAGTGCCCTCCAAAAGTATTGGAACAGTGAGGCCAATTCCTTTATTTTTGTTGTAGACTGAAAATATTTGGGTTTGACATCAAAAGATGAATATGGGACAAGAGATCAACATTTCAGCTTTCATTTCCAGGTATTTACATCTGGATCTGATACACAACTTCGAAGATAGCACCTTTTGTTTGAACCCACCCATTTTTCATGAGAGCAAAAGTATTGGAACATGTGACTGACAGGTGTGTTTTGTTGCCCAGGTGTATCCCAATTACATTGATTATTCAAACAATAAATAGCACTGAATGTCTGAGATCAGTTTCAGATTGGGTACGATAGGTTTTGCCTGTGCAGACTGCATTTAGAGGTGGAACCAACATGAAAACCAGAGAGCTGTCTATGGGTGAAAAAGAAGCAATTGTGAATCTGAGAGAAGATGGACAATCAATCAGAGCCATTGCACAAACATTGCCCATAGCCAGTATAACCATTTGGAATGTCCTGAAGAAGAAAGAAACCACTGGTGTACTAAGCAACAGACGTCGAACAGGTAGACCAAGGAAAACATCAGCAGTTGATGACAGAAACATTGTGAGAGCTGTAAAGAAAGACCCTGAAACAACTGTTAATGACATCAGCAACAACCTCCAGAGGGCAGGAGTGAAGGTATCAGAATCTACTGTTCGCAGAAGACTTCATGAACAAAAGTACAGAGGCTACACCAGATGATGCAAACCACTCATTAGCAAGAAGAATAGGAAGGCCAGGCTGGAATTTACCAAAAGGTACAGAGATGAGCCTCAAAAATTCTGGGAAAAAGTTTTATGGACTGATGAGACAAAGATTAACTTTTTCCAAAGTGATGGAAAGGCGAAAGTTTGGAGAAAGAAAGGATCTGCTCATGATCCCAAACATACAAGCTCATCTGTGAAACACGGTGGAGGTAATGTCATGGCTTGGGCTTGCATGGCTTCTTCTGGGACGGGCTCTTTCATCTTCATTGATGATGTAACACATGATGGCAGCAGCAAAATGAACTCAGAAGTCTACAGAAACATTTTGTCTGCTAATTTAAAGAAAGATGCAACCAAACTGATTGGGAGATCCTTCATCATGCAGCAAGATAACGACCCAAAACACACTGCCAAAACAACAAAGGAGTTCATCAGGGGCAAGAAGTGGAAGGTTTTAGACTGGCCAAGTCAGTCTCCAGACTTAAACCCAATAGAGCATGCATTTTACCTGCTGAAGAGGAGACTGAAGGGAGTAACCCCCCAAAACAAACAACAACTGAAAGAGACTGCGGTGAAAGCCTGGAAAAGCATCACAAAAGAAGAATGCAAAAGTTTGGTGATGTCAGCGGGTCACAGGCTTGATGCAGTTATTGAAAGCAAAGGATTTGCAACTAAATATTAAGTCTCATTCACTTTAATCTATTTTAAGTTTATATGTTCCAATACTTTTGCTCACCTAAAAATTTTGTGTTCCATTACAAATAATGCTATCTTCTAAGGTGTGTATCAGATCCAGATGTAAATACCTGGAAATAAAAGCTGAAATGTTGATCTCTTGTCTCATATTCATCTTTTGATGGCAAACCCAAATGTTTTCAGTCGACAACAAAAGTAAACGAATTGGACTCACTGTTCCAATACTTTTGGAGGGCACTGTATATGCATTTTACAGTGACCAATGAAAACAGGTAGAAAACTATGAAAATAAACTTCTTACATCATGGAAAGTAAATGCAGCGCTTTTACAATTATCTTACAGAGCTGCTTAATATATGCAACATGACAAAATACGTCCATATTATCGAACTCAAATACCCATAAACAGCACTGTATCTAGATTCAATACTGAGAAATCCATGGCATTTTATCCATCTGCCTTTTCTATTAACATTAAGCAGCCGTCTTATAAAAAGGAATTAAAACCCAGTTTAGGAAAAAAATTAATACAATTATTTTTTAATGATCACTTTCTGTCACACGCAACTACACAAAATGTTCCTTACCTCTTCATCTGCTTCCTCCTCATCTCCTGTGTCGTCGTCTATCATCAGGCCATTGTGAGTGTGAGTGTGTGTTCGTCCGTTGAGGGAGTACACAGGCTTGGTGTAGTGGCCGATACTGGCCTGTTTGGCTACTGCACTGTTAAAGGTCCTGTGCTGCTGTGCCTGGAAAGACATACAACACACACACAGATCAATGAGCTGATAAATACAATACAGTACAATACAATACAATACAATACAATACACTCTCACATCGATTGTGGGAATTTGTTAGTAACACAGACTGTTATACCTGTCTCATGGCGGTCTCTCCAACCTTGTCGGAGTGCTTTCTGATGCTCTCCAGGAAGTCTTTAAGGTCCGACATGGAGATCTCCTTGATCTCCTCTCTTAGTCTGGGCAGGTTTTCACCCATGATCTGACAGAACCTGTACTGACTCACCCTGCAGGAGACACAACACAACCAGTCCAGGTCTGTCCACTTTCAGAACTGCTACCTAATCTAACCAGCATTGTCTAATTTCATATGGAAAAAGAACACAAAACAACAGCTGGCAAATCAATGAAATAAAATAATAAGACCATCTACCCATCAGCGTCATGCTACTAATACCCAAGCAACATTACTGTCACCAGGGATGTATCAGTATTACTCCCTGTAATACTTTTTTTTATGTACCAGTTTTGGTTTTTTTTAAATTCCAAAACAAAAAATATTTTACTTCCCATGCAATGGCCTTATTGTTTCTCAATCAGATGTAATACCTGTTGAAACAGCTTTCTGGAGTGGAAGAAGAAATCAATAGTAAAGCTACACTGATTTGAATGGTGACAAACCTACAGAATAGTATCACCACCTCTGAAATTCCCCTCAACTCTAAAAAATGTTTTAACAATTTTTAGCTCTTTGATTTGGTTTAACAACAACATTCTATCTCAGTTCAGCCTCCGCGCTCCCATCAGCTTTTTTTCAGATAAAAAGCTCTAATATACCCAGTGTACACTACCTGCCCAGCACCAATCAGCAGACAGACACAGTTAGTGAACTGGGGAACATAGTGGGCCATTTAGTAGCTAAACAGTAGGGTTGAGCAATTGGACAAATACATTGGCTATCTTCAAAAGGCTGAGTACATTGCTGGTTGTTTTTGTTGGGCAAATTTTTGGGGTGATTGTTGTCATTTTATTTTGCTAATTTAATGGTCTACCTCTGAAGAATGAGCAAGAGCCACTGCTCAGTGAGCAGCTTGCACAGCGTTACAACAAAGAGTGGAGACAGGTCTGGCTATGTGAGACTACTCCATGACAGCCTCTCATTCAGCATGCTACTGTCTGAGGTCTGCAAGTGGGGTATTATCTACTGTTACAACACAGACAGAAAAGCTAATTTTTGGGAGCTGATCGATTGGCAGACACTAGATATTGCTGGTGAACGTTCTTTACTCACTTTTAGATTTGAAAGCTTGGAGTTAATTGTGTCAGCCCTCTGTTTTATAGCATCATGTTAGCTACCTGGCTGATGTTAATGACTAGATATTGTTATCATAGAAATAAAACCCACGTGCAGCACGCTTTTTTTTATGAAGCACTGGGGTGAAACTCTCCCCAGTGCCCTGCCAGCAATTTTTTGCTGAACAAAAAATACCAACAAAACAAAACAAATAAAGCTCTGTGGACACATGCCCTAGTTTCAGTTTGATTGGAAAAGAGAAACTTGAATTCAGAAAGTGTACCGTTGGATTTCTCTTTTTACAAAGAAAAACAGGTGTAAGAATAGTACCTTTCTTGACATTTTGTGAGAGTTAATTTCATTTATATATTAGCAAACTCGCCGCTTAAACACATCTCAAAGCTGACACTACATCGTGGGGGTGGGAGGCAATGGCTCATTGTTGGGCTAACAGTGGTCGGTTGAAAATTTTATCATATTGCACAACCATACTAATGAGCCAGGTATTTTTCTCTGGAGTGCCAAAAGCATGACTCCAAGTGAATAACTATGTTGCTGTGGCTGTACTAAATGTGTAAATATACAAGTGATTGCAGATTGCTGCTGAATTGCTCAAAACTGTGTGTAGTTTATACATTTTGCTTATACCTAGCAGTGTCGCATGCCGTCATCATTAACATCCTCCAAAACTGCATTACAACACCAATATCTGACTGTACATTTTAAAAATTTGGAATGAAGTTCCAATCACTGTATCATAATGTGACCACCAACAACATTATGACCAACAACACTACAGTAAACATATCACATGGCTGCTTTGTCTTGTTTTCCTTGTCAAATTTAGATGTGGTTAAACAAAGACCAACCTGATTTTGTGCAGTTACAGTTTAGATCGGTGCCCTTTTCTTTTTCAGAGGAACTCTATAAATAATCTATACAATATATATTATTTTAGTGATTTATTGGTCGAAGTCGAAACACTGGGTTTTTGCCATAACTGGGAGTCACCAATGGGATGTTTTTACTGCTGTGAACCCAAGAGAACCAAGTTACAAACTATTCAGACCCATATTTGAAGCTGCAGGGAGATAAATATATTTACTTTAAGATTTTCTGTGAAATGTTCAAGAACCCAGGTATCCTACCTGGGAATGAAGACCTTCTCCAGCTGCTCCATAGTTTTCAACGCAGCATAGTATCTGCAGAGACAAAAGGATATAGCAAAGGTCAAATGCAGTCATAGCTATGGTCCTTTAATCATAACCATTAAAGGATAGGACGATAATTTTTTAAGTCTGTATCAAAACAATAGTCAGGCGCCCATAAGAACACTAAAGCAGTTGTTGCTTCCTGTAGTCATTCCTCCCATTGTACTGACAGTGGCCATTAGAAGATCCCTTTCCAATAAGCTTGTATGTAATGGTGGTAAAAATGTATAGTCATCATTCTGTACAAAAACATATTCCAAAGTTCTGAAGCTCATTTGAGTCTTCAGCAGTCTGACTTTGTCAAAGTTCACACACTAAAGAGCCTTTAACTTTGGAAGATGCTTACTTGATTTATCTAACTCAGACAGCTGAAGCCTCATTTTATCTTCAGATAAACTTAGAATTAATTTTTTCACACAGGATGAGGACTGTGGATTCTGACCCCAGTCTGGCCCCATTGGAAGCCCAGTGTGTTCCCAGGTGTTGGGGATTATTGTTCATTAAGAAAGTAGTATATTGCCTTTATTGTCTTCAGAGGGAGCTGTGTGAAGTCTGACAGTGGAGTCAGTGTCAGTTGGGTCTGAAGACTTACAACTTTAAAAATGACAAGAATCTAGAGGTGCGGAGTTAGAAAAAAAGTGAGCTGACCAGACCTCTGTAGCTCTGCTGGTTTTGGTGCCTAAACCTAACCACAAATTAAAGGGAAATTTCGGTTTATTTCAACCTGTCTCCTATTGTCCTAAATTTGTTTCAAGTGACTAGTGACATAAAAATAATAGTTAGCATGTTAGCCGTTAGCCTAGATACAGCCGGGGCGCATTGTAACGTCAGACCTGTTAAAACTTAAGTGAAAGGGCAACCTTCAAGTGCAAAGTTAGTCCACTAAACAAGCTTTTTTTCCACAAAGACCGCCTCATATTGTTAGGATAAATGTCAGAGAACATATAGAAAATGACATGTAAACGTTTTGTCTTGGTCGGGAGTGCATACAGGGACGCAATACACATTATTGAGTGACATTATGAGTTTCTGTGATAAAATTCACGCAAGTTGGATCAGCCTGTGATTTTTCACTTTGATTTTCAGTGTGATTTTGAATGAAGCCCTCAGTGGGTTGATGATTTTGGTTTGGTTATGTCATTTTGTTCTCAACAAATTATACAATGTACATCAGTGAAGATTTTCAGTTTGAATAATTCATTTATCAAGATCTGATGTGTGATTGAAGTTTTCCCTTAATTCCCTTAATAAAGTAGCAGACATTGCCTGTAGTTAAGTGTGATATGTTATTCTCAATGCCTATTGGGCTACCTGTGTTTAGGGTTGGGATCCGGATCCGGTTCTTTTTTGGAACCGGGTCCAAAGTTCCGGTTCCGGAACTGGTTCCATCACATTTGGCTTAACGGTTCCTGCAAACGGTTCCTAGATTGTCACGTGCATTTCCATTAGAGTGCGCACGGGCAGCATATTTCTGTCCGAACCCGACCGAGCCCGACATTATCTAATCACTAAAGCACTGAGTTTGTGTCACACAGTTGTCATGGTTACAGGCTATTTAACAGGCCGGGCGTGCGCTGTTGGCGCCCCGGAGAGGGAGACCTCCGTGTTTGAGACGGGAGTGGGAGGCGGGAGGTCCGACGCTTCCAGCGAGGGGAGAGGGAGACATATAACAAAATAAGATAAAATAGGAATACCTGTCTCCCTCTTTTATTTTATTTTCAGCATTTAATCAAGGCGGAGGCGGGCGGCGGGAGGTCCGCTTCCAGCGAGGGGAGCGGTAGAAACAAACAGCCAGTGTGCCTGTGTGTGTTATGTTCAGGTGTTGTCACGTAAATAACAGTGGCCAAGCATGAATGCATATAAGTATTTTTTATTACATTTCTGTGGTTAATTTGAGGTAATAGTGTTACTGTAGAAATCAGAGAATCACTTTTTGTTGTTAGGCTATATATTCTCAGGGAGATGATACAAGCTCTAAATCTGAAATACACACCACACACAAATGTGTATTTTCATCTAATTGTACTGTGCACAATCGAATTTAAAATCCTACTGTTAACTTATAAAGCTCTAAATGGTCAAGCTCCGTCATGTCTTAGAGAGCTCATAGTGCCATATTATCCCACCAGAACACTACGCTCTGAGAACGCAGGGTTACTCGTGGTCCCTAAAGTCTCCAAAAGTAGATCAGGAGCCAGAGCCTTCAGCTATCAGGCTCCTCTCCTGTGGAATCATCTTCCTGTTACGGTCCGGGAGGCAGACACCGTCTCCACATTTAAGACTAGACTTAAGACTTTCCTCTTTGATAAAGCTTATAGTTAGGGCTGGCTCAGGCTTGCCCTGTACCAGCCCCTAGTTAGGCTGACTTAGGCCTAGTCTGCCGGAGGACCCCCCTATAATACACCGGGCACCTTCTCTCCTTCTCTCTCTCTCTCTCTCTCTCTCTCTCTCTCTCTCTCTCTCTCTCTCTCACTCTCATCCTATTACTGCATCTTGCTAACTCGGCCATTCTGGATGTCACTAACTCGGCTTCTTCTCCGGAGCCTTTGTGCTCCACTGTCTCTCAGATTAACTCATATCGCAGCGGTGCCTGGACAGCGTGACGTGTGTGGTTGTGCTGCTGCCGTGGTCCTGCCAGATGCCTCCTGCTGCTGCTGCCATCATTAGTCATTAGTCATACTTCTACTGTTATTATACACATATGACTATTGTCACACATGTATACTGCCAGATATTAATACATACTTTCAACATATTGTACCACAGTAGCCAGAACTATAACTATAATATTATTACTTTCAATAATGTTGTTGTAAGCTACTGTCATTACCTGCATCTCTCTCTCTCTCTCTCTCTCTCTCTCTCTGTCTCACTGTGTCATGTGGATTACTGTTAATTTGTTATGCTGATCTGTTCTGTACGACATCTATTGCACGTCTGTCCGTCCTGGAAGAGGGATCCCTCCTCAGTTGCTCTTCTGAGGTTTCTACCATTTTTTTTCCCCGTTAAAGGGTTTTTTTTGGGGCGTTTTTCCTTATCCGCTGCGAGGGTCATAAGGACAGGGGGATGTCATATGCTGTAAAGCCCTGTGAGGCAAATTGTGATTTGTGATATTGGGCTTTATAAATAAAACTGAAAATTGAAAAGTATAGCAATTATAATGAATATAATGTAGGAATCGGTAAGAGGAATCTGTAAGGAATCAGACCGTTAAGAAGGAATTGGTAAGGAATCAGAATCGTTAAAATCCTAACGAGTCCCAACCCTACCTGTGTTATAAAGATATTGTGGTCTTTCAGTGTGCACACATCACCAGGGTTCAGCCTTGGGTCAGTGTGCTGAGCTCCCATCATTAGGCTGATAGGCAGGCTGTGAAGGGATCTAATTGGTCGGTCAGTGAGTGTAAAATGTGTTGTATACACATGAACAGAAGACAGCCTCATAAACTGTACAGTGAAAAGGTTTGTCAGAGTGCAGAGCACCAGGACGGAGGATACAAAGACTGCAAGTGGCAGGACACTGAACAGAATGTGACCTGGCCATCGGCACATACAGTACAGAAAAGCATGTGCATTTGAGGCATACAAGCTCATTCCAATGTATTGTAAGTGTATAGGCTATGTCATTAGTGCTCCATGTACACTCCACACACACAAATCCCACAAGGTGGCCAGCATGGTCTAATTGCCTTGGATTGGCTGTGGGCCGTGACAGAGCAGCAGTGAGGGGGCCTTGTTGTGAACAAGGGCACACTGAGGGTCAATTGTCCTGCCAGTGAATGGCCTCTTCCTTTGGTACACAGTAATGAACAAGAAAGGGTCATTATTTTCCTGTCCAAAGTGAACGCCCCCCTCCCCTCTTTATACAGATAGGCATATAAATACAACCAAACATGAAGTTCATGGGGTAAAATGAAGTTCAATCATCCCCACACAGCAGGGGAAACCTGCATCATGAATACTGGATGATGCTGCAGATTGGTTTGGTGGGATGTTTGATTACTGAGCTCTGTCTAGGTAAAAAAACTTCTTAAAATGGAAAAAAAGCCATTCAGTTTATCCATTGATTCAGTAATTTAAGTATCTTGACAGCAAGTTCCAAAGCAGTCTTTTACTGTTTACTGAGGTTCAGAGTTCTGCCTCTGACCAAAGCCTGCCTCACTGATGATACATCAGATTAGGACTTGAGGATGGGGCTTTAATTGCATACCTTGTTGATCATATTTTTACATTTTATAATTATATTCCTAAAGCAAGATGAAGACTTGACTTGATATGGATGACAGACTGCCTATATATGAACTGAAACAGACATGAACTGACACATACATGTAGATATTATTTTTGATGGATCATGTTGTTAACCATTACTTGGTGAACACTGAGAATATTTTTGACCTGTTCCGAATGTGGGTCTGTAGTTTAATTTTGTTGCTCTTTAGTCTACTTAACTGTAGACCACCCAGGTCTGGTGGGAACTAGCTAGCGGTGCTGCTCATTTGACAATTGCGGCTTGTTACGCTATTCTGACCCAACAGTATAAGTAAGCAGCAAAAATCTAGCTGCAAAACCCCCTTTAGCATTGCTTACTATGTTATCACTGTTAAACCTGTTAGCACTGTTAACCGTGTCAACACGGCTAGTGGTGCTCAAATAGCTAACTAGATTTATGTCTGCGAGCACATGAATGCTTCACGCCCATTGAGAAGTGTTTTATGCAGAACATTATGATGCCACAGTGAAGATGACATTTGACCTTTTAGATATAAAATGTCATCGCTTCATTATTTTATCCAATTAGACATTTGTGTAAAGTTAAGCCATAACTGGCACATGAATCTTAAGTCATCTTTAGTTATGGCCAAAAATGTTTTGTGAGGTCACACTGACCTTGACCTTTGACCACAAAACTCTAATTAGTTTATTCTTCAGTCCAAGTGGATGTTTGTGTCAAATTTTAAGAAATTCCCATACGGTGTTCTTGAGATATGCTGTTCACAAGAATGAGTCAGATACAAGGACACATTGACCTTGACCTTTGACCACTGTAATCCAATCAGTTCATTGTCGAGTCCCAGTGAACATCTGTGTCAATTTTAAGAAACTCCCTCCCTCATGTTCTTGAGATGTCACATTTACAAAAATAAGATGGAAAAGGTCACAATGACCTTGACCTTTGACCACCAAAATCTAATATGTTCATTGTTCAGTCCAAGTAGACATTTGTGCCAAATCTGAAGAAATTCCCTAAGGGTGTTGTTGAGATACTATGTTCAAAAGGTTGGGATGGATGGACAACCTGAAAACAGGTACTGCTATCACTGGCGCGAAGGCATAAAAATGCTTAAGGGGTTTCGTGTCTCAAAATGAAGCTAAAGCTGAGGCTAAATGGCTGTCTGTCAGCAAAGCTAGCAGAAAATAAAATAAAGACAAGACATTTACATTACAAAACATTAAAACGTCATCACCTCTACATAGATAGCATTTTGAAAAGCAGTAAAAGAAAAGGCCTCTGTATTTTATGTAATTTTGAGGATTTTTTCCTAAAAATGAACCACTTAGTTACTGGTTAATGGGTGTTGGACTATTGGAAACAAAATTAACCAAAACTGATTATCCTATTTTAGATACTTTTAGGTTCCGATATTGGAATCGTCAGTTTGTTGTTGATGTGTTAATGTGTCTAAATAATTCCATGAGGGATGGCTGACGTAAATGACACGAAATCACATAAAAATAAAACGGTTAATTCATTCATTTACAACTGTGGTGAGTATGGTTAGCTGTGATCAGATATGCAATTGTAACAACACCCAGCAGTGAAGTCACAAAACCATTTTTCCAAAACCTGTGCAGTATCAATGTACTGCAACACTATAGCACCACACTACATCACAGCTGGTCTGATGTACATGTAACCACACCCAGCTGAGATGTAGCAAGGCATTATAGTGCTACGATTCATCACAGTTGCACACAGTGAAAAAGGGATGATGTCGTCACTGGTTGGTGGAGCAAGCCAGGTTATTAGCTTGATTGAAGTTACTCTTTAAGAATCTGGGAACCTAACTTGTTTGTAATACCCCAGTTATAATAGATCAGTCACACTGTGCTGAGATGCTTTGTGAGATGGATACCTTTTGGACTCCAGCTGCTCTTTTAGTTTGCTGTACATTTCTAAAACTGCAAAGGAAGAGAAGACAGGAAACAGGATCAGTGGCAGAGTCTCTTGGGTCAAGCAGGTTGGTTCACTCACTTCTCTCTAAAAGAATGTGTATACCATGCACACAGAGATACATAGAAATGTAAAATAACACATACTGGACTCAATGTTTATTAGCCAAAAATGTCCTAAGTCCCACCCAAAAAACCAAGAGTCTTACATGCTCTATCAGTTCTATTAAAAAAACAGCCTCGTACTCAGCTTCTAAAGGTTATATTAAAAGTGCCATCTGTGAGTACTAAGTACTTCACTTAAGGCGGATTTATACTTGTGTGTCAGCTCTATGCAGAGCCAAAGCCATAGCCTATGCATGTAGCCTATGCTGTTGTGAGCATTTATACTTGTGCGGTGGTGTGTCTGTGTCACTCTGCAGTTACACCTCCAAAACACTAGTCGGTGGTGGGGTTTCTGCGAAGTGCTGTAAAGTTTAGTTGATTCAAACCACACTTACAACACATACCAAACATGGCTTGATAGCAACAATTTCAAACACAAGTACACAAATCGACTTCACGTCAACGCAGGATTCACAGACAAAGCAGCTGTCTTTTGCTGGACACATTTTGCCCACAAATACAATATGGTAATGTTATTAGCACAAGCCTATGGCATTTTACATGGTATAAATTAGCCTAGTGGCTAGCAAAGATTTCCTCTACTTAAATGAAGCCAGGATAAATCACACACAAGACTTGAAATGCTATTTTGTGGGGGTTTTATTGTCTTCACAATATACTGTGTCTTATCTGTGAAATGAAATCTTTGTTTCCACTGTGGGAAATGATTTTCAGCTTACAATAATAAACAGCAGGTCTGCGTTGCCGTGATACGTAGATACATTTCTGTGGAGGTATAAGTTAGGCCATGCTGTAGGTTATGGCGGTGTTTCGACACAGAAGTATAAATCCCGATTTAGTTCACAAGAGTTCTCATTCAACACACCCAAGATCTGAAGAAGGTGTTAAACTGGTAACATCCTTGATACAATTAAACATGCATGTACTCCAGGTTACTGTGGTGGCTAACACTCACAGCTTACTAAAACTAGAATTAAAGTGACCATCATATTGATACACAAACAGCAGTGGTACCAGGTATACAGAGCTGGAGCTTCTCCACAGTGGTGGCCATGTTCCTCTGCTGAATCCGACAGCGAATCACCTCCTCTGTCTGAGCTGTCACCTGAGGAAAGGAGCATACAATGGAAGGAAACAATGAGAAAGAGGCCACTTCTGTTAAGTACTGGGTTAAAGAGCGGTCATGTCTAATGCAGAACTGTCTTTTGCAGTTAACGAGGAGGCATATGTCCTGACAGCACAATAAAAAGCATGTTTTTGTCTTCTGCACATTCATGCATACGTGGACTTACCTCCCTCCCAGCCTCTTGTAGTCTTCGATTAGTGTCCGTTACTTGACCCTTTCAAAACAAACACAGACAGCAGTTTAACGGTACAGCCTCAGAATATCTCCTTTTATTCTGTTATTCCTCGACCCATGGTTCCTACAAACGTTTGTTTATTGTCAACAAATGGCACGTGCCTAGTTTCTCTGCTCTATTCCATAGAGCTCCAAAAACCCCATGAAAGGCCCAGTGTGGAAAAAAATGTGAATTAATCCCCTGTTGGAAATAGCACCCAACCACTATTTCCGCTGTTAAAGTAATGTTTCCTAAAAATAACAGTGACCAACTGTCATAGGAAATGATTTAGCAATATATTACTTATACACAAACCCGGCGACCGCTTCGTGTGTTCCGCCATTTTGCAGCGCAGACATTACTGTAATGGCATGTCACGGTGTCTGCTGTTGCCTGCTGACAGTGACAGCAGTAATGGTTGTTGATTTTCTAAATTATCTCAGATAATTGATGACAAACTTTGGCATACAATGTGGACATTACTGACTGCCAAATAACATTTAAAGGTAGGGTCTGGAGGATTTTCCAGTTGCTGTTTGTAAACACACATTCAAATTTGGCCCCTCCTATCAGGCTCAACTCCCCCGGGTGTATGGAGCCCGGAGGTACGGAAGAAGGCTTCACAGAAGAGGTTCAGGCAAGGCTTGCGCTGGTGCACACTCGGACACGCTCGGGCATGGCATCTGCGCTCTCTCATTGGCTGGGGAAATCTCTACCCAGAAGCGGTCCGAGCTCACAAAAACATCAAAATACAGTTAAAGGGCAGGAGCTCTGCAAACAGAGTCACCACCACACATGAGTAGAAGCCCATAGGTGATGATTAAGCAGGATTTCATTTGTATATGTCTATATTTTGTTTTGTTTGAAAATCCTCCAGATCCTACCTTTAAGTCTTTACAGTTAAAAATATAAACACTCCTACAAAACACAGAGCTGCTGAAGTTCTGGATTAACAATCGTGTTAACTGATGACTTTCAGCTGGATGTGTCCGTGGTTGCTCTTAGTAACTTAAGTAAATGGTTGGCGAAGATAAACAGATGAGTTAAAGTTAAAATTGATTCAAGTAAATTTGAAGGCTTTTACTAAGACACCTACATGTTTTGTCATGTTTTCAACAGCTGTCATTGCCATGAGCAACCACAACACATTCCGGCTGAGTTACCAGTTGGTAAATGACAATGATGTTTTCTTTGTGGTCACTGCCCTCATCAGAGCAACTTACGTTATATTTCAGAAAAACACCACAGTTAGTTGATTGTGTTACTTATTTTGTTGGGCCACCGCAGCCCCTAGACAGTATTGCTAGCCCACTAACGTTAGCTATGTTAGCCTACTAACTTTAGCTAAGCAGCATTAACTTAGCTGACGTTACTTGTTTAATGACCAGTTTTCTCCTGAAGTTGACGTTTGCCACTACTGTTGGAGTCTACTGTTGTTCTTCTTGATATTGTGCCTACAATACACGCAAACATGTGACACTGACAATACTGAAGTAAAGGCCACTGGTTTATTACTTCCCTGGATTCATCTATACAATATATTGGTGAACTATTTTTAAAGATAGCAGCTGTATGTTGAAGACACAAACGTTTTAATTTGAGAACTTTATTATTGAGATATCTTGCATGTTTAGATTTATAAATTAAAGTATTTTTATTTATACCTAATTCTGAGCAGTTCAGAGCATGTCAACCAAAAATGAACTGGTGAAGAACCCAAAAAGTTGGTTCTCAGCTTGAACCCCCAAAAAATCAGGTTTTTCTTAACTTGACGTACAAACTGTGACAACATCAGTGAATGTGTCATCTTCCATCAGTTGGAAAGAGAGGATGGAGATGGCAAGAATGGAGACATAAAGTAACAAATCATCAGCAAAAAAAGAGCATGCAGGGGTCTTGATTTTTGGTTAAAAACAAATAACTTAGAACAAAAGTTTGCAGGTTATCAGTGTAATCTGCAACTTTGCTTCTACTGTTTATTTCCCTCGTGCATTGTGCAACTCCTTCTGTTACTTAGACAGTGTTTCCCCTGCCCAGCCCCCCAACGGCACCCCCCACCCCAAGTCCGAGACAATTATAACCAAGCCTGGCCCAAACCCGCAGCACGGCACTGTACACACACTCAATGGAGTGAAGCCCGTGTTCCGTTCAGGCGTTGTCACATAAATAACAAATTCCAGCACTTGAATAGGCCATCCTTGATTATAATGGTTCCATTCAAAACTGGTAGAAACTCAGGCTGGTTTGTTAGATAGCACCAAGGTCCAAAGAATCGTTCGAGAACCAGGGCTAATTTGGTGGAAAAAGGGTATTAGTGTGATCAAAGTGATATACATGAAACAGGTTCTGTTTCAGTTGCCGCACCTAACTATGGACCATTCAGAGCATTCCCACCAAAAATAAAGTGTTTTGGAACCTGAAAAGTTGGTTCCCAGCTTGAACCAAAAGATAGCAGGTTTGCCTTGACTTGAAGTTTGAACTGTGACAACATCAATGGTGCGTGTCATATTAGACAGGTTGGAAAAAGAGGATGGAGAAGGCAACAATGGAGACATAAGGTAAGAAATCATCTGAAAAAAGAATGTGCAGGGGTCATATTGATCGTTGATCCATGACTCTTTGGAATAAAAACAAATATCTGTAATAATAAAAATAAAATTTGTAGGTAATCAAGGTGATCTACCATCTTGCATTACTGTTTTCTTCTGTTGTGTATTGTGCAGTGACCTCCATTGATGACACATCCTTGATTACAATGGTTCTGATCGAAACTGGTGAAAAAGTGGGCTGGTTCACAAGATAGCACCACGGTGTTAAAAGTCCTGAATGGACCAAATTCAAGAACCAGAGCAAGTCTGATGAAAAGGAGTATCATTGGCATGTTAAGGTTTCTTTTTTTAAAAAGACTCAAAGACCCAAATTGTGGTTTTCTTCTATGACATTCTCATATGAAGCACTTCAATTTCTTCATTTTTTTTAATTTTGACAGTTGGATACTTTTTTAGAATGTATGAATGAGCTGGTCTCAGTTCAGCCATACACACTGTCACATGTCTATCTGTCCTTCCTCTTTCTGTCTGCTCCCCCTCTTCATGCCCTCTCTTTTCCCTCTCTACCTCCCTCACCGCAGCTGCTCAGCCTTGTAATCAGCTCATTGTCCATGAAGGGGCAAGGACAAAGGCAGGCAAATTCAGATTAACCAGGCAGCGAGGACCTGAACCCATCGTCGGTGCACTGGGCCTTTCATGGGGTTTAATGGCTTGTGACAGGCTCTTTCTCACAGATTCAGTGACAAACTTCTCGATTCTGGATGGGGATTTTTGAACTCTCGGCTCTTGTCACACGGCTGAGAGCCATGACCCAATTGACCAGTCGGCTTTTTGATGACAATCCTTTCAACAGTGAAGCTTCCAAACAAGGGGGGACCGACTACATAATCGCTGCTTCTTTTTTTTCATTCAGATAGGGTGCAGCACCACAGCAAGAGTGCTTGAAAGCAAAGAGACAAGTGAGAATTCTAGAAACTAAACCAAGACTGTTATCTAAAACAACGTAATGCTGCACTGGTAGGTCAGGAAATAGAACCTATGACCTTTCCATTATGGGACAGTAGCCCGATTTACAAGTGCTAACACATTCTTGAAAATTCTCATCCAAAAAGTTTCTTCCATTGAGTTTGGATGAGCAGTGAAACGTTTTCAAGGATTTACAGCAGGACCAGTTACATTTGATTTAGTGCTTCCTCTAAATGACCTGGATGATTGAAGCTACACACTTCATTTTTTTAAATGCAAAACTTTTGGTTAGTTAACGCCTAGTTTCCACACTAGTGTTGTCACGGTACCAAAATTGGGACCCACGGTACGATACCAGTGAAAGTATCAGGGTTCTGAGTAGTATCACGATACCACAACAAAAATGAGGCAAATGTGCCTTTTGTCATTTACAAAAAGATAAATCACTTTTCTATAATACATCAATGATATTTCAATGGAATAAATTACTTATTGACTTATTCATACTTCAACAGCATCAATAAGTGATTAACATAGGGGGGATCAAAATAAAATAAATAAATAAAATAAAAATCAACCAGCCACCCTCCTCCTCTGATAAGTTAAGAACAGTCCCTTCAGTGCGGTGAGGTTTGTGGACCGTTACCTGCCACAAAGAGAGAAATGCTCGTTTCTCCTCTGACACGTCACATACCTGTGTGCCGCCACGGCTCGGCTGTTCAGGTACTTTTGGGCAGTCATGACACTGACGAAGAGGAAATTATTGGACTTGGAGCCGGGCTTCTCGGTTACCGGTAAGCCGTTATCTTGCGCCGCGGAGCACTATGGCGCCATATTTGACAGGAATATGGCGGAGCCTCCTGTCAAATTCGCCTTTCGTTTCTGCTGCTGGTTGAAATCTGTACTTGCACAGCGTGCTCCTGAATGATTTCTTTTGCTTGCACAAAACTATTTTTAGTCGCAAATGCGAGTAAAATGCTTGCACTGTAGAGCTCTGTGGAAAACAAATCACTGTAGCAATACAAAGAAATCTAGCCTACAAGTAAAACTAAATAAATAATAACTTTCATAGCTTAAAGATACTCAATAGCTCAGCTAATACCTGAAATGTCACTGGAAAACAAACCACTGCAGCAGCATATTGAGTGCCAGGTGGCCAGTGCGCCATTATTGGACGGCGCATGGACACTCACCCTCTTGTGATTGGACTTTGAACTTATCCCACAGTAGTGGTACTGTGAGGTAGGTGTTTATCCATTGCCAGTGGCTCGCGCGTGCGGTCATCAACAGCTCCTCCCACAAGTCTTCAACAGCCCCTCCCGTGGCGGAAGGCCGCCTCAGTCGTTTTAAACTAAAAGGGTTCCGCCAATATGACTACTCTACGAGGCGGAAAATTGGGCAGCTCGGATCAACTCGCCAATCCGGCTGTGTGTCTAAACGCTCACAGCTTGCCGGCAAAATGGCCCAACATTCGCAGAAAATCTTGCAGTGTAAAGGGCTAGTGTGAACATTAAATATCTTGTCTTCGTACTATTTTTAAATGAATATAGATCAAAAAGGGATTTGCAAACCATTGCATTCTGTTTTTATTTATGTTTTACACAGTCTCTCCACTTTTTTGGAGTTGGAGTTGAAAAAACTCTTCTAAATGTGTCTGAAACATTATTTGATTAAAGGTAATAAACATTTTTGGGGGGTATTGGAGTGAATCTTTCATGACGACTAGCCCTACAGTGATGTAGTAGATCATTTCAGAGTAGATCTGGACGTCTCTCTAAAATACCCAGTCTACCAAACCCAATGACAGAAAAACATCTATCTCTATCTAATTTGATTCTCTTAACAAATCTAGTTGGCAGTTGGCAGAGGTCATATGACTGCTATTTTGGGAAATATGGCAGCCAATGTGGGTTGCAGACCAAACTGTACTGCTTTGGCTCTTCTGGCCTGGCATCCCCTTTACAGTAATATCTCTTACCATCAGTTTCTCTGCATCAGCACGGACTTTCAGGAGCTCTGTGATGGCGTCCACAAAGCCTTGGTGGTGGAAATTGCACATCTTCTCAATCTCACGATCATGGTTCCTTATCCTGGCGTCCAGCTTTTCCATGAAGCGCTTGTGGGCATTAGGCTGGTCATCGTAAATTGACCTAAGAAAGACAAACAGGATGAGGAAACAGGGGAGATATAGGAAATGAAGAAGAAGGGGATTACCGCATGAAGGGAAAGATGGCAAAACAGAGGAAACTGTCAGAACTGATAGAATGAATATGATTTGCTTTTATGTCACTTTGCAAATGTCCATCTGCAACCTGATGGAGGTTCCTCAGGACAGCTGCACTTAACAGCTGATGCAACATTTTGGACTTGTGTTGCTCATTGTGTCTTATGGTGTGTGTACATGTATAATATTTACAATATGGCAGAATTTATTACTATGTGTAATTAGCAATGAGTGCAAAACCCCAAGATGGCTCACATACAGGCCCCGTCTACACCTCTGCAGATATTTTTGAAAACAGGTATGTTCCCCTTCATCGTCATCACTTCATCAGTTTATCCTATTAGACATTTGTGTGAAATTTTGTCATGATTAGCTTATGAGTTCTTGAGTTACGGCCAAAAACATGTTTTGTGAGGTCACAGTGACCTTGACCTTTAGCCTTTGACCACTAAAGAATCTAAGTAAACGTTTGTGCCAAATTTGACAAAATTTCCTCAAGCTTTCTTAAGATATCGCATTCACAAGAATAAGACAGACAGGGTCATAGCAACCTTGATCTTAGACTTATTGTCCTCTTGAGGAAATTCTCTTTCACAGCACCATCTCCATTCCCCAATGTCCACCACAGAACAGAACAAGACACACATTTGGAAACAAACATTAGAAAATAGACAAACAAAACAGTGTCAACATTTAACAGAGTCCACACTCTGGCCTTTGCCCACCAAAATCTAGTCAGTTCATTATTAAGTCCAAATGGACAATTGTGCAAAATTCAAAGAAATTCCCTCAAGATGTTCTTGAGATGTTATGTTCACACGAATGGGATGGACAGACAAATGGACAGATGGATGGACCACCTGAAAACATAATGCCTCCATCCACGGCTATCACTGGCGCAGAGGTTTAAAAATCTGTCGACACGAAAAACATCTCCGTGCACAATGAACGCAAACAGGACTCCAAACCCTCACTGGTGTTTGCTGTTGATTACCCTTTTGATATAAGGACAAAGGAGCTAACTCTGGGCTACGAGTAATACTCGGGACATACAAAAGTTTTCCTTACACTCCTCAGATGACAATCCCACTCACAAAACTGTCCCACCATCTGCTGGTTCAACTGTCGTTTCTTGCAACGTCAAACCGCAGACGCTAAGGTGGACCAAATAAGCTTGGGCACGCAGACACCTGTGTCATCGGTAAAGTGAGTTAAGATGTAAAGGAGTTATTAGACCAAGCAGAGCTGATTAAAAGTAAACAAACCACTATTAAGAGAGCAGGAGCCTTTTGTGTCTTGTTCTTGGTTAAGGTTACACACTGCTAACATACTACACCAAAGACTGTACCACCGTAGTGCTGTGTGTGACGTGTCAAACTGATATTCACAATTTGTGTGTAGACTGAACAACAGCACTACAAAAATACTGAGAACCAACCAGTGCAAGTGTGGAGGCCTCGGTGGCCAGTTGTTTGCACATTATTGTAAAGAATCCTGCCATGAATCAGTACTGGTCATCCAACAGCCACACAGCCACACAGACACACACAGACACACACAAACACACACACACACACACACACTTCTCTGTAATTTCTTGGCTTGGCTTCAACAGGCACAGATGGTCGTGTGTACATATGAGTGTGTGTGTGTGTGTGTGTGAGCGTGTGTGAGCATGTGTAAGTGTGTGTGAGAGAGAGAGAGAGAGAGAGAGAGAGAGAGAGAGAGCGAGAGAGAGAGAGCTCTCCTGTGGCTGCGTAATAATTGTGAGTCACTGTGTTTGTGTGAGCAAATGGGTGTTTGTTGAAATGTATGTTCTTGTGTATAAGCAGGTACTATCAGCATGAACACTGGTGTATAACCACAAATTTTCTCCATAGAGATATTGTGAAATATAAAACCACTGAGATATTCACTTTCAACACAAAACACTGTTCAGTTAGACATGGTTTTAAAACAATATTACCATAATTAAACAATTTTTAATATACAGGACAGTGTGAAATGGGGAGACAGAGAGAGTGGGGGGACAACATGCAGCAAAGGGTTGCAAGCTGGAATCAAACTTGCGACCGCTGCAGTGAGGCATCACCTCTATACATGGTGTGCCCCATAGTTAAACAATTTTGAAGTGGACATGGACTATTACTGTATTATGTTGAACTTCAGAGGAACTGTGTTACGCAAAATGATTGTGAAATAGTGTTGACACCAACCCAGGATCTACTTTCCAGTTTGGGGGTGTCTTTTGTTAGTATTTTCACGATGATACAACTAGGGCTGGGTATGGTTTTTAAAAAATTAGAATGAATGTAGTTTCCACGTGCGTCTTGTGCGGCTTCTCTGTAGCCATGGTGTTTGTCTGTTTGGTTTTCCTGGAGTTACTGCACTGCTATATACTGAACTGCTGCTACGTCATCTCCTTCTTCTTCCGGGTGAAAGCCCGCAAAAGAAAAAGGGGTGCATATGCAGAACGCCAGTGGATACATGCAGCAATAGTTCCATTTTCAATCTAATTATCTAAGTGTGTTAGTTGAGCTACAGACAGTACAATTTCAGTTGGACTAAGCTGTTAACATGCATTTAAAAGTCTGGTTTCAGTCGGACTAAGCCAATAATTCGATTTTCTCAAGCTGCATGTGAACGCACTGAGTGGAACAGCTGCTGTAAGAGTGTGAGCTCCATGCTAAGGACAGGCTGTTAGCATCACACAGCTAATATTACCTAACTGGTTTAACAGCAGAGTCAAGCCGTTTCAGTCAGTACGCTTACATGCACAATTAAGTCGAGCTATGGTTATAACTCAACTAGGCCTTTAATTGGACTATTGTTCTTGTCCCAGTACACAAGCACGAGAGGAGAATCAATTTATTGACCGAAGTATGTCTGACTCCAACACGATAGGTCGATACATCAGCCACAAAAGAATATCATTGCCATTTTAAATGTTTTGCGATATGCTGAGTATTGCGATAATATATATTAGGGCTGACCTTCGAATCCATTTATGGACATTTGAAGCTTCGGAGCTCAGAACGAATTTAATTCGAAGCATTCGACGACGGGGGGATTTTAAAAAAAAAAAAAAATTATGGCGAAAACGTAGTTTCTTCCAACACTAGAATTAAGATAAAAATATTCACAAACGAAAGAACACTAATGGTCGGTGATAAGTAGTGTTTAACTTTTGATTGAACACTAAATTAAAACCCTCGGCGCACACTGCAACACAATCAAACAGATGCGCAACTCAGAGCATCAGACGTGTCTCTGACACCAGACTCAGAGCGGACCGGTGGAACTGGAAAATGCATATTTTACATCAATAAAATCTATTTTATTATTATTTTGAGTCACACTGTTGAAAGAATTTAGTCGTCTGTGTTCAAGCAGGATAATAGCAGGTCTCCATTGTGCATCAGGCTTTCTATTTCCTTGTCGGAGATTTTTTCTTTTTTAATTACATGATATATAGGCTATTCTCCCTTAACTCACCAGTAAAAAATACCTTTATTCATTTCAAATAACCAGTGGCAATAATATCCCCGTTCTCTGACTTACTGTGAAACATTTTTAAACAATTCATGCAAAAATCAGACCGGATGACTCCTTTACACGGCCTAATGGAGCCAGCCTTTATTTGTCAATCAACCAAAAACAATCAATCAATTAAAAACACAAAGTGGACCTGGAACATGAACTCTTATAGGCCTAACACATCTGATGACCTCTTGGACATGTCTGCCAGCTCTGAGTGCGCTTGTTGTCAGTATCGGACTGGTGGGGGTTAGTGTTGCGTTTAAGGCCTCCCCCAAAAAAACGGAAAAAAAGCACAGAAGCTTCGATTTTTTTTTTTTTTTCACAATCGAATCCCGTGCCATCGAACGAAGCTTTGAAGCTTCGAATTTTTTGGGTCAGCCCTAATATATATTGCCATTTATTACTTTCTTTAAATTGCTTATTATGTCAGATTTTGTCAAGATCTATTTTAATTTAATATGGTAAAGTTTTCATTCTGTTCATCCCACTTAAGTCATTTTTATATTCATTTTATAGTCATTTTTTAGACCAAAAGTTGTTTTGTTTAGAAAAAAGTTTAGAATGTTCATAATTTATCAAAAGAAAAAAAAACGTTGCTTTAAATATTGCCATGCAATATATCATGATACTATGCTGTATCGACTTGTCGCCCCACCTCAAATAACTTTGCTGACAACGCTGTCAGCACTGAACACACTGGCCAGCATAACAGGAGGCTGTACCTGCATCTGGTTTAGACGGCTCTACTTACAGTCAGCACCTGAGCTGAGAGTCAGACAGGATGAGCTGGAACTCACTGTAAAGCTCTGCAAATTTGAGGGGAGCTGCAGATTCAGCTGATACTTCTCTGGAAGTTCATCAGTATCAGTGACACCTTTCACGCTGAAACACTGTTTTCATTTTCATGTTGTCATCTAAAGCTGGTGGATTGCGGTCCAAAAGTGGGTCAAGGGCCCATTCTGAATGGACTGCAAGTGACTCACAAACATGTCAAGCTTGTAAAGAAATGCACTTATTTATGCACTATTGTTAAGTACAGTAAATTACTAGCACAGAGCTTTTATTCTGTGAGTGACTAACCGACAGCTAATTGCCAGAAACAGCAGTCTAGCTAAACGACATGGCCAAACGCAAGTATGATGCTGAATGTAATAAACTGTGGGACCCTGAACTAATGACTAAGGAGAAAACTGGACCCCGTGGCAGTTGGGAGCCACACATCTAAAATATATTGTTATAATAATAATAATAATAATACCAATTATGGCTGCTTTAAAAAATAAATAACTATTCTGAGAAAAGAAAAACATTGACAACATATAGGTCTGCATCTCATATGTTACTTCACTTTGATAATAATATTAAACCACTATATATTGTAACTTG